TCATTATAATTGAAGGAGAGAGAGTACAAAAAGCTTGAAGTGAGCTTGATGTAAATACTTTGCAATGACGGACAAAGTTACCTTCAGGAGGGATTCATTTCTTTGTAGGAGTTTGAAGTCGGTCGAGGTCAGAATTGCGACAAATATTCAAAACAAGCATTATCATGTTATATCAAAACGTGAATTTGTCCATATATGGAAGGTACACCAAGCCTCTTCTGTATTGTGTATATTTATGTATTGAACTCTGATCATATGATTTTTTTCATCTGAGGATATTACAGCATATAAAATGTCAGTGTTCAAATTCGGGATAACCATTTTAGACAAAATCATAATATTTTTATAAAAATGCAACTCAATTAATTAAACTCAAATGGTTATTATGTAAAATTTTGATATTCTTTTTTAGAATCGTTAAAACATACATTTTCTAATCAAATAAATAATCTCGTAAATCTAGAAGAGGACTATCTTTTTAGCTCACTTATGACGTAATGGTTTTCGTCCTTGTTAATCAAGTCAAAGCGATATTGAATTTGTCGACCATATTGAACGTTATTTGCATTTATTATCACATTTTACGTCATAAAAATTCAAATTTTGTATTGAATCATCAATTTATTATCATTCCCCTTATTAATGCCGTGACTGTTTTTTTTTTATTATTGAAAGAGACATATGTAAATACCCGTTGTAATTGAATCATACTTACGGAGAAAAACGCTAGTCCATCATCCAACTTTCTTACCAATGCATGCTTTCTTGAAATAGTTTCGAAATTTATATACGAAGTTTAACGTATCATCAATATTTCTCAATATTTGATTTATTTATAGGTATATAATAAATGATTATCATGTATTTTTAGCATTTTTGTATTGCAATCGAATAATAATTTTCAGAAATGTTTTGTTTTTTCTTTTCTTTTTTCCAACAGATATGACTGGATTAAAGCGCCGACCTTTCGTCTTTGCTTGCTTATATCAGTACCAATGTTAAAATTACTATTTTGATTACATGTGTAATACTATAAGTTCCATTTCTATTACAGGTGTTACATTTTATTATTATTTTTACCTTTATTAATTAATTTATTTGTTTATTTATTCATTTTGTTGTAATAAAAATGTTATAATTATGTTGTCCGAGTTCTGTATTTTACTTTTGAAACTTTTTTCAAGTATTGTGATTAAATTCAGGAGATTTTTTGTATAAAGGGAGGTAAATCTTTTTATGATACAATAAACAATGGTAACTGAGTTGTCTGTTTGTGATTCGTCAGGAATTCTAGAATAGAAATATTTTCAATATCTTAATTCCATGGAATTCAGTAATACCTTCATCATAGACCTTGACAGCGAGTTTTATTTTAAATTCCATTTTTCATAACCACCTTATCCTCTTCTTTATTAGATCTGGGACCAAACTTATTGGTCCCAGATTCGACACGGACTGATCAAAGACTCATCAACTAATAAGCTCCCTAGCCGCGAATTTGCCAGCATAAGAAAAGTGTTTGACCGAAAGTGCATTCGTTTGTGTGAGACATCATAAAAATACTAAGCGACTGGTCAGTGTTATTGCTTGAAGGTCCCCACTTAAGGTAATATAGAGCAAACGCCTAAGAAATAAGGTCGGCTGATTTGTCCGCATGGCATGTGCAGTTTGTTCTTCCTTTTTGTAAACTTTACGATTTTTTGTTTATTTCACTACTGTCAGATAAAAATAAAAATTTGGTTTGGAAGCATTAATCACAACACAAGAGCTTGGTGAAAACTCTAGCTTACAATCTGCTCAAAAATATTCATATTTCTTATTGCAATTGCTTCTTTTTTTCTGCCAAGTATGTTTGCAAAATGTTTGTTTGATTAGGATTGTGTTTTACATCACACCGACACAGTATAGCTAGGTCATATGGCGACGTTCCAGCTTTACTCATGGAGGAAGATCTAAGGTGCCTATCGTGCATTATTTCAGGCATGAACGCGCACCTGAGTAGAACCACCGACGTTTCGTAAGCTAGTTGGATATCTTCCTCACATGAAAGAATCCAAAGTCCCTGTCGGGATTTGTACCCACAGCGGTGAGGGGCAAGTGGTCTGCCAAGGGTGTAAAATACAACAACAAACATAACAAATTATCTGTTTCAAACTTTACTTTAAAAAATTTGTGAAATAACATATTGTTTAATATAATAATAACAGCTCTATTGCTTCTAGGTGTATATATAACTGATAAAACATAATTATTATCTAGTGTATAAATCTGACACAAATAAAACCAGTTGTACAGTATTTTTATCAACATAGTTTCTACCCTGATACTAACAAAGAAAAGTTCCCTTCTGTACATTTTACAATTCACTGATCATTACTGTACATAGTGTCATAGGCTCGATTATTTGTATACTAGTAATTAAAACAATCTTCAATTTTTTCATAAAAAAATTAACACAAATCAGTAAGTGTGTCCCTTTAAAGATTTTACCTAGGACATCGTCAAACAACTATATTTATATAATTATTCAAAATCTAGCGAAATATAAAAAAGTAAGTTTGCAGTATCATAAATTCGTTATAAAGATTCCCAACAGGTTATATGGCCTTGCCTTACAGCTCTGGTTATATATACAAGTAACCATTTAAAAGGGTCATATAACCTGCTAAAAATCTTTATAACTATAAAATATATCATAAAAAACGAAGTTGTTGTGTAACAAATGTTAAGTACTTTATTTAAAAGGAGAGCATATGTAAAGTCTTTAAAAGAAAAAAAAGTTTTGCTTTGTAATTGCTGATAATAAATCTATAATAATACATGTAATAATAATAATACATATTGCATTATAATAGGGTGTCATATTTGGTATGTGAAATAAAGTAAAACCAAAATACTGTGTCTTAAATGTGAAGTCTATGTACACTGTCTACATGGACAATTGTCTATAATGATTATATATAACAATACAAATGAAATGTAATAAGAAAAGTGAATTTAACATTTCCCCTAACATGTTGTATCACACTCCCAAAGTTTTGATTATGTTTCTCAAGACATAACTCTGAACAGAAACAAATAATTTCCCCTACAGGAATTTGTATTTTGCTGAGACTTGAATGTAATGTAAGTAAATAACACTATCAAGTATAATTATACTTGCAAGAAAACAAAATAATTGGCATCTTTTTTTCTTCAGAAACTGCAATTACGGAGATGGCGTTGCCACAGGAATAAAGCTAATTGGAGTAAAAAATCACACACACAAAAACACAAGAAAATTATGTTACTTATCTGTCGCAGAATTACAGAACTGAAATGTCTTGTTACACCACCGGATATAATGTATTATCCAGACATATATAGCAAATAATTACAGTTGACTAAAAATGCAGACTCAACATTGTGACAAACAAAATCATTCATCAAGAGTAATTACTGTTCATTATGGGCGCAAACTTTCAAAGACAAATGATGATATTGTTTTTTCTTGAATATTTGTTAAATCATCCAAAGATACATCAATGTTGGTATTTTTCTTATGTAGTGAAAATAAGGAAAACAACATCATTTGATCACTTTATACTGGCATAATAGATTAGTTAAAACATATTTCTTTAAGCTCGATTGCTAAATAAGTTCTTACAACTTATATTTATCACTTTCGAGTCCGCTTTCTGGAACTCACTAATACTGGTGTCATATTAAGAAACATAGTCGAAACCAAAGTAGGGCCGGAACCCATGATACCTGGGTTGAGAGGCAGACACCTTAACCACTAGGCCACCAATCCCCTTAATAGCATAATAGCACTTAAAAATTTCATTTAACAATTCAAAGATGAGCAGACTGGCCTTGCGGTCAAGATGTCTGTTTTCCTCAAGTACAGCATTGTTGAGTTGGAGACCTGCTGGGGTCACGGCCATGTTTCCTACAATGACACCAGTACTGGTTATTTCCAGGAAGTCGACTCAAGAATGTCATTTAAATAAGATTCAATTGAGCTACAGTAAATAGTAAAAACTAACAATGTTAATTTCCCGAAAAAATATATATATATCAAAGTTGCATTATAGGAAAAAAATTTCCTGTCACTACATGTAGGAAACTTGTTAAGTTTAGTTGCAATATGATTGATCCCTATTCTTACCTATTATTTGAATAACAATAGATTTAACCACAGACATGTGTTCTTTTGTTAACAAATAGGTTGTTTGTAATGCACTTATATGACAATTAGAACTAGTAAAGTTAGGATCAGAAAGGTAATTTAACAAAACTAGGCACTTTTTTGAGCACAAATGTAAATTTAGATATTTTTTTCTTCATATAAACATGACATATTAAGAAATTTTAGATCATATATAAAAGACTAAAGAATCCAGTTCATAGACACTTGCAAAAATAGGCAATCATACCCTGGCATGGTTCTTTAATTTAATGAAATGTTCCCTGACAAAAAGACATGTCCCTTTTTACACAAGTCAATAAATGAAAAAAAACACACACAACTGGCAAGTAGCTAAATAAGGTGAAGAAATGAAGAAAGAAAATACACCTCTTATAACAAATTTAAACCTATATCATGTATATGCTAAACAAATACAGTTTTTCTTATTTCTTATCAATTAAATTTAATAAAATCTAATAAGTAATATATGCTTAGTCATTTAAATAAAAAAACAGGAATGTAGAAAAAGGGGAGATAACAACGAAAAAATGAACACTGCAATATATCGTGAAAGAAAGAAAGGAAAAAACATGAAATGTGAACCTCCCTTATCTGAACAGAAAGCCTATGAAAAAAAAAACTAACAAAATTAAACATTAAAAACAATATATGTAAAAACAAATTACAAAATATTAACAACATAATGGCACCTTAATGCAATAACTGATTAACTCCTATTAAATCAAAAAGGACTTATGCCGTTACTGCACTAAGGTGACAAATAATACAAAAACAACATCTATGGCAATCTGACAAAAACAATTTCAACTATAATAAATGGCTACTTTTAAATAAGGACGGCATAAAGTAACACATTCATGTTACCAAATTAACTTTTAAGACATCCTATATTTCTATAATGGACTCATCCTTCTTTGAATTTGGAACTGTCAATTTTTGGTTTAAGGGGATTTTTTTATATAATTGTTAACATTAACCCTTTGACAGCTTGCTGGAACTGAAAGTGATAAGCCCATGCCACCAGTATATAGCCAGGCCAGCCTGCACATTGGCGCCGTCTTACCAAACTCTATACTGTTGGCTGACTGACTTAAAATTTTCAACATGACATCCCAGCATTGATAATGGACAGTTCCAAAAAAATGGAAGCTGGACAAGTCTGTTTGAAATTTCAGCAGGAAAAAAGTTAAGCATAGGACACAGTCATACTCTATACCAATGGTATAGGCAAGCTGTAACTGTTAGTTTTCATTACTTTAAATTCTCCTTCATGGAATATTTAACAAATTATTGTTACTTAAAACCAACATTTTCAAACTTTTGTTTCTTAATAAAAAACTGTGTGTTTGATATGTATCATCTGAAAGCATGCTTATAGAGCTTTTTATATAAATATCACATGCTTACAAAGGTTTTAACATAAATATCACTTGCTTACAGAGGTTTTAACATAAATATCACATGCTTACAAAGGTTTGAACATAAATATCACATTATGGCAAGTCATAACAAAACATATGTTTCAATTTTGTATACATGTTGTGATGATATGACAATATAGTGTAACCATTTATGATATTTTTAGCAGCATTCCATTTTTCCCAGCATGCCAAAGGGTTAATACAACAACATTCCCTCAGCCCTCTTGCACCATTAATCCCACCCTCTGTACTATTCCACATGTATACATTACAAATGTCTATAAAACAAAGACTGTGTGAACAATAATCACAGACATGTGACTAGCTTTTCTAGAGAAAAAAAAAGATTTAACTAAAAGAAAAGTATAATAATTAAAACAAAATATTAAAAAAAAAACAAGAAACTAACCAATAACCCTTACTAAGTTGAAACCAAAAACAAGAAAGCCTCTGCAGCAGTGAGGGGCAAGTTGTTTGAAGTAAACAACCTAAACTACAAGGTCAGAGGCCCGACCTAAATACTGTGTCTGGGCAAAAGTATCTAGCTGAACCAACAAAATGTCTAGAAAGAATTACCATATTGTTTCATAATATTTGCAAAGCATTTCTTTTATGGTATACTTTCCTCCTCCTTCTTAAAAGATTTTCATATGTAACAAACTACCTTGATTTTTTTTGTCTGTTTTAAATCCAATTGAGGAATTAAGTATTTACATACACGTATTCTTGAATAAATGCAGATTTCTGGAAATGTACATGAATTAAATTAAACACATGATTTAATGAAAAATTTGAAGGTTGAATAGCTTCTTTTTCCCCCTAGTATATGCATGATATAGAGCTTCAAATTATATTTTTACACATTCAAAATAAACAAGCAAATTCATGTTCAACCATACGTCATAGTTGATTGAAAATTTTTAATTAAACATTTTCACCAAGTTTTTAAAAAATGTTTCAACAATATATTAACAAAATATAAATATAAAAAGAGTAAAATAAAAACAACTAAAGGCAGTAGAGAAAAGTAATTTGAAGTTGAAAAATGTCCGATAAATCAAAATTAAAAAAAAAATTGCCCATTGATTGTATAAAAATGTTCTTTGTTACTTTGACAACTAATTATGAGCAGAATTATGAAATATATTGTACAAATATGAGCAGGCTGGATTCAGGTCAAAGGTCAATACTTCTGATTGTATTCATCACTTATAAGGTTAAGAAAGCACTGGCGTTTCTGAAATAAACAAAAATAGATAGAAATTATAAAATTATATAACCAAAACAACTACATCTGCGGATGTTTCTTAATTAAAATTTCACCATTTTCATGTTGAAGTGTTGAAATCTGCTTAAGCTGGTGCTAGGGGGCATGGATATTACCTTACAGGAATATGAATTTTAAATGAAAATTTTAAAAATAAAATCTGGTTTTTTTTAGCCCAAATAAAGCTGTTCTTGGCACTATTAAAGTGACATTGTACTTATTTTCAGCATAGTTAAATATAAAATTGGACATGATCATAGCAAAATGGGAAGTTATTTTTACTTTAACCTATACAAACACAATTTACACTTTAATGGATATAATTCCACTTTAATTTCAAACTCAAGACAAGGGAAGTAACCTCTACATAAAATATCTAAGATACTAATCAATACATAAAAATTCTAACAATTTTTAGCACAGAAGAACAATCTTTTTTGTTGTTTTGCCTCCCTGACTTTGACCTCCATAAAACTTTAAGCCACCCACCCCCCATGGGTGCAAGTACATGCAAGACACAACATCTTAAACATCTTATATAATTGTGACAAATACAGAAGCACAACAAGAAACAGCAACTAAGTTTGACAAAATAATTACACTGTATGAATATATGTTCACCAGTAAATTTTGTGTCTTAGTCTAAGATGAATGGGAGGGATACAAAATATTAATGTAGATACTATTTTTGCATTGTGATGTGTGGAACTGCAGACATACATTTTGCATATAACAAAGTCTATCATTTGACATATTTCTTGTTCATTTGTTTAGTTTTTTTTTGTTGTTTTTTTGTTGTTGTTGTTTTTATTGTTTTGTTTTTTGTTTGTTTTTTGTTTTTTTTTTTTTTTTTTATTTATTTTTTGTTGGTTTTTTTTTTTTTGTTTTTTTTTTTTGGGGGGGGGGGGGGGGGTTACGTCACACCAACACTGTACACCAGCTTTACTGGTGGAGGAAGACATCAGGTGCCCCTCTGTGTGTTATTTCAGACAGAAACAACCACCTAAGTAGAACCACCAACATTCTATAAGCTTGCTGCAGCAGCTGGATAGTTTTCTCACATATAAAAATCTGAAGATGCTTGCACATCTCCAACCTACAACAGTGAGAGGCAAGGAAATTGAAGTCAACGACCTTAACCACTCAGCCATGGATGGTCCCTGAATATTTTGTAGTGTAAAATGGTAAATAATACAAAAATTATTACCATAGGTGATGGCAAACATGTTCCAAAAGCTTCTAATAATAATGGTTCATCTTTTATTGCTTGTTCGAAATCTGCATATGATAAACGGCTGTCATGGTCAAGATCCTGTAAAATAATGAGATAAATGATGATATAAAATAATGAGATAAAAAATGAGATAAATAGAAAGATAAATAATGAGATAACATAATGAGATAAAATTAATTAAATTAAATTTATGAAAAATATATGAAAATACAGAAAAATTCTGTGTTACTTATTGACATGAAAATCCTTTTTTGATAAAACATTCAACAATTCATACATACATGTCAGTGTTATGCATTTATGTATTGATATATGAATTAACTCTGACACATTTTCAGTAGTAAAGTCTCCGAACTATGATACATTATTGAGAGATAACCTACCATCATTTTAACACATATTTCCACCAATTCTTTAATACCTTCTTCTGGATCCTCTTCAGTTGGTTGCTACAATTTTAGGAAAGAAAGGACATGTTCAGTATAATTTACACATCTAGAGTGTTTACAGTGTACCATGAAGCACCTCAATATTTGCTTAGGAATTTTACTTCAACCACTTTTATTTTACATTACAACTGATGTATATGGCTAGGCCTATCAAAATAACACATCCTTTACATGCTGAAGCCTGCATGGTATAGAAGGTAAGCAGTTCAATCCATGTGCAGACTGATGCTTGAAATAATGCATTAAGAGGTATTTGACTGTTTTGAATGGCATTTGGTCGATTGGACAACCTGTCAGGCTTGTAATTTAAGGACTGCAGGCCACATTAGTTCGGACCCAGTCAGGGACAAGCCGTTGTTTCCTAGAACAAGAAATTTTACATTCATTGCTTAGTGCTGATTGCTTCAAGAGTCATTCAATAAGCTTATAGCTTCCAATACAAATCAAACTAAAATAAATTTGTATAAATTATATTTGATTTTTTCCTCTACGAATAAAGATCCAGACAATAGAAAGTTTTCAAATATAGTCACAGTGTACATTGTCTGTACAACTAAAAACTTTATACATGTACATAATTTGATATTTACCTTCACCATACTGTTTTTGAGTAACTGATACATTTCTTCTCTCGAGATGTAACCATCTTGATTTAAGTCATATGTCATAAATGTATCTGTAAATATAAAATCATTATGTGTGAAACAGAAAATTAATGAATGAAAGTATAGTGTACTACAAAACTGTTGTTTGTGCAAATAAATTTACAAAAGTATCTTTATATTCAAAACTGTTGGGTGTGAAATATCAATTTAATATTACCTACAAATACATTTTGAACTTACTGGTCCCCTCAGCATTAAACAAAATTTTACTCTTCTAATACTGCTATTTTTTCTCAAAAAACATTTAATGAAAAAGGATAAAGGATAGCAATATTATTGTAATGTATCAAAGTTTTATTAAAATCAAAATGTCATTTTATAACAATTTCATACAAAAATGCTAAAACATTATTTTTCAATAATTAAATATACATATTGTTATAAATTTGAATCAATTCACAATAAAAAAAAAAAATAAATAAAAACATATGTACCATATGAAACAACTTACATTTTGTTAATTCTTCTATATCCCCTTTTAAAAAGACTGACAGTCCAAGAACCCATTCATCTTGATTAATATGGTTGTCACTGTCTCTGTCAAATGCACGGAACACTGAAAATACCAAACATAACATACAGATGAGTTTTTTTTTTTGTTTTTTTTTTTTTGGTGTATATCAAACTGATTTTTCTAGCAGGTGCTAGATAATGCAATCTTGCATCTCAGTTATAACAGAAAATGTGAATTTATATGCTTCTTTAAAGGCCCATTATAACCCAGAAATGTTTTTATTTTTATTCCTCAAAAGCTTTTTATGTTAATGTCCTGTTACAGTTTCCAAAAAGTTACTCATTGACCAATACCTGATCCAGCTTTTGACTCTGTTCCCTTTTGAAAATTTTGTAGTTATATCAATTTAGTATTTTGTATAGAAGTCTACTACTTTATTTACATTTTTATGATTTTAAAACAAATAATTTCACAATCCTTGCTACTTTCTTCGGGTAATAAACATGAAACATGTTCTAAAATATTACTTAAACATTGCAAAAATAAGTTTGCCAATTCTAAAGAAGGAACCAATTTTTTTTATTTCTGAGGCATAATGTGGCTTTAAGAAATAAAGCTTTTAATAAAATTTTGATTATTTTAAAATAGGGATGGCAACGAATACCAAAATCAATACTCGAGTACTCGGTCATTTTTCCGATCGAGTACTCGGTTACTCGGATGATTTCCAATGATCTTTAAAGTTTTATCACACAATATCAACACCGTCTGCATGCTACTTTCGTTTTCTATTTTAATTCATAGAATTCGTAACTATAGATAGGACTGCAAGAAATACATATATAAATATAAACATAAGAATACAAATTTTCCCCCTAAAATACAGGATGAATTTGAAGCGCAAATACGCTTCAACGGATAGAAAATTCCGTATTATGTTAGTGGCAAATAAAGTACCAGATGGAAGTGCCAGACTATTTTTGACGTTGGTTGTATAAACGTAGCATTTGGAAACGGAAACGAAAATTATAAAAGGCGTGGCTGGTTTTGCAAAAACAAAACGTATTCATCCGTCGGTCATAAATTTATTTCTTGACAGGTACATTTCATTTTCTGAAATTTCTTATAGAAGTGTAATATTATGAAAATCATTTGTAATTCAAACGAAAAGGAAAAATATGTTGAAGTAGCTTTCTGAGCTTATGCATTTTTCTCTTCGGAATAGCGAGATATCAATTTTTCCACCGCTGCTCGTAGCAAAATACAAAGCTACAACATAATATTCTGTATATATTTACGTTTTAATAATAAACAAGTTTCGGCTACAAATTGTCTAATATTTAAAGGTGATTAAATATCATAAGAGGCCGAATGACGTAAACGCCACAGGACTGTGTTCAATCCCATACGCGTGTCAAACTGCTGATCGCCTTGTTAAACTAACGATATCATTTTCACACCTCTGCAAGAATGTTTTGATTGCATTTAACAAGTTTTTGTACAGATACGTGTACATTTCTGAACTAATCTTTCTAAATCGCAGAAAAGTAGAAATTAAATGTTTTTTTTCCGAGTAATCGAATATCAATTTTGTTAACCGATATTCGGACGTTCGATCGAGTACTCGGTTAACCGGTTACTCGTTGCCATCCCTATTTTAAAACTATAATAAAAATCTAAAATGCAATAAAACTAAAAAATCACTTGATGCTGTCCCCAGTGATTTTTCTCGTTTAATTGGGAAGAGGCCTTAGCCTCATGATTTTGGGAAAAACTATCGCTAAAATTGCTTATTTGGGAAGAAAAAAGCAGGTTTAAGTTCAGATTTTTGGGAAAACTGCATGATTTTAAAGAAAATTTCAATTGGGAAGAGGCCCTTTTTCGGAGTCTGTTTTATAAGTAGGAAAATCACTGGTCCCACATAAGAATCTACAGTTCCAAATATAAAGTAAGACAAATCTATTATCTAAATTTCAGTTTCTAAAGGATTAAGAGAAAAAACTCTCTTAGGACAAAGAAATGCATGGATAGTATTTGAAAAGTTCAAAACAACATTATGTCACGAATCTTCAAAACATGTTACAACAGCTTTGCAATGAACCCTTGCTCTATCATTCTAAACCATTATTTTTATTATAGGACCCAAATATAATAAATATGTTATGCAACATTAGGAACTAAGTTATCACAAAACAGACTTTATACAAGTAAATAATTTTGCAAACTTTCAGCTTTCTAAGTGGTCCACGCACTCTACACATCCCTAGCAAAGAGCAAAATCATTTTTATTTCAAACCAGTTGTCCCTTTTCCAAGGAATTATCATCTGTTATGAGTGTAAATATTTAGGTAAATGCTTCAATTTGCTTGAAACAAAGGAAGTTGGCCAGAAATGTAAATATTTAATGAGCATCTGAACTGTGTGCTGTACAAGACATTTTTTATCAAGTTTGAGGGTTTCTAAGTGCTAAAAGTAAATAGCAGTTGGTGTGATTAAAACATTGGTGCAAATAAAAGACAAGTATATTTGTTAGGTTTTACCATGCACCAACACAGTAGAGGTCATATGCGTAAATTAGGTTAAATGGAAATAGAAACACAAAAAAAAATTTTAAAAATTTTTGTATTTTTTTTAAATTGCCAAAAGGGATTGGCAAAAAAGGGTGAAAACATGAAAAAAAAAGGGGAAAAACAACCTTTAAATAATCCCCTGTATTTTGTCAGTTCTTTTCCGTGGCTGACAAACGGCCTGATACACTATGGCGAAATGGTGATTTTCCCAACATTACGGGTGTTTAAAACTGGTTGAAAAGGGCCCTAAGGTCCCCCTGTGTGATCATATTTTGGGGCCAGGGAAAGGACAGTCTTAAACAGAACCACTAAACTTTAAGGGAAAAGGGCTTTTGGGGATAGCTTCCCACATTAAAAAATCAAAAAATCCCTGCAGGTTTTTTGAACACAAAAAGTAATAATGAATGTTTATACCTCTGTCCATTAACATGTCATCTGTCATGCCAAACATGTTATGAAGAATGTCTCGAAACTTCATTCTGTCAAGTTTCTTGTTGGTAGCACCTTCAACATATTTGTTATACATTGATAAAAGTTTCTCAATCTCTGCCTTTTGAACTGGAAAAAAAAGAAATATTTTCTTTTCAAAACATATCTACATGTAATGGAATAACTTACACATTACGCAATCTAGATATTCACATGAAGTGCGGGGTAGAAGATGTTTGGTGAGTTTGAACATGTGTTTATGTGTTATCATCAAATAAGTAAATTGAAGAGTGCTAAAAAAATAATAATTCATCTTTGAATCTTATTATACTACATAATCCATAAATACATATCCTTCAAAAATTTAATTTTAAACTTGACAAATTTTGAAAGAACAAACCAGTAAAAAAACAATATTATCGAAAGTCAAAAGATTAGTCACACTAACGGATTTTGCGCCATAAAATTGCTTTTGAAATTGGGAAAACATTTGGTACCTTTTGAAACCCCCTCTTGTGAAATAGTTATTACTCTAAATCAATGCAAATTACAAATTGATAAACATGTTATTTAAGATTATATTAAAATATGAATTATTTTTCTTTAAAATGTCCTTAAAAACAGAATTAAGAATTAAATATGTCTAAGTTGAATTATTTCACTTTAAAATGGCCCGATACTCTTCCCCAACACCCCTAGCTATCTATCTAAAGAAAATTGTCAGTTAACTATAAAAAATACAAACCAATGTGTTTAAACATAACTCATTTGTAATTAACACAGTCCTCAAGGACAATTTATGCAAGTTTCATACCCCTGCACAGGCATCAAATAGTAATATACAAGTGTCATCATAATCAGAAATAAACATACTAGATCATTTTTAGTTTGGGGAAAAACCTAGTTGTAATGTGTACCTTCACATTAAACTTGAATTTTGAAATATGAAAAGGAAAAAAAATGTTTTAAAAACAAACCAGTTTATAGGGCCCAAAAACCCCGTGGGGTTATGATTTTTATTCAATTTCTGAAAACCCCCGTTTCCCTTTAAAAAAAAAGGAAGATGTCAACTACCCCGTTTAAAGGGATTTTTGTCCCTTAAAAAGGGGGAAAAAAGATTTTTTTTTCAATTTTTAAGAAATTACTGTCTTCACAATCAAAGCAGTTTATCTTTTTCATACCCCTAATTTTCAGTTTGGGTTTTTTAGGGGCATGTAATTAAAAAATTTGGAAAATTTGGGTTTCAGTTAGGGCAGTTAACATAAATTTTGGATAGGGAGTGTGGGGAGGTGGGGATGTCCGTAATCCCGGGAAAATCCCTTCCCGGGAAAAAACGAGATTTAAAACCCGGGGAAGAAAAGAGAACGATTCCTAGCCGCCATCTTGTAAGAAGGTAATTAGAACGGCAAGATAAATCCGAAGAATCTGAGAGATATAAATGGGTCATCCGTACAGGGAAAGTGTTTTCAAGGTAAGCAGAACACTTTAATGGTGGCAGCGGCTATTCGAATTCACGTCAACTTCGTAGGAATTCTACGCAATCCGGAGGGTAAACCAGCGATTTTCTCAACCATAAAAACTTTGGTTTTCAAATATTGAAATCTAAGTATTTCCAATATTTGGGAGGGGGAAAAGGGACTGTTGGTTTGGATTGAACATGCACTGTACGTTTAGATGATTTAATGTGGAAATTTGCTAAAATTGAGTATTTAGAGTACTCTTTTGGTAAGTTTAGAAAACTTCGGATATTCGGACTTACGACGCATGCGCATCGGAAAGCTAAGCTTCCGCCCAGGATCAGTTTCGCACGTGAAAACTGTGCCAGTTCAGCATTATATTTAAAATATTTTTGGAATAATATTTGGGTTAAATTTTTTTGGTATATTTTCAGCGGTTCAGTATAATTGATTGAATTTATTTGCATTGTTGTTTTTCAAGGTCAATACACAAAGTAGATGTACTCTTGTTTGATTTTTGTTTGTATTGTATATAGTTGAAGGCTAAGTCTCACTATATATTTAATTTTACAATTACAGGCACAGATCCTCATTGTAGTTATAAACAACAAAGTCAGATTTTTGTATTTTATTTTCGTTATTGATTTTTGAATTACTTAGTAAAAATTCTATCATAATTTTAATCTGAATTGTTTTAATAAATGTAAATTATTTTTCGGAAAGGAAATAATTGTCTGTAATACATTAAAGTATTTCGAGATGTAAAATAATTGCAAGGTCTCTGCTGGGTCCCTAACCGACTGATTGACTTGACATATTTAGCTGAACTTCACTGAATCCAAATTGGCAACGAATTATAACTAATTCCTGCATTAGTCGTCGTTAATATCCTTTTGGGCTTACCAAGTAAGAACAAAAATTAATGGCAGGGTGCAGCGAAAAGAAAATTTGTGTTAATTTTGGCTTTTCGAAAGAGGAACTCTCGAAGGATTCCGGCAATAAGTTCAAGAATAAGCTGAGTCTATTATTACAATCCGTTAATAGTGGAGGGAAATATAAACACTCGGAGTGCTGCAAGACATGTTGAGCGCACTTTAGATAAAGAAGGAAGTAGGCTCGCTTGGACTTCTCCCCAAGTGAGGGGTTGCCAAAATTAGAATTGGGGGGAATATACTACCTAAAGTACCATCTTCGTCAAGGAAAGATTCTGGTGAAGGAGGGGACAGTCGAGCAATTTTGGACAGCTTGTTGGAAGTTCAAGAAAAAGGGAACTTCAATGAAGATGCTGAGGAGCCCGACAAGATTCCTTCAAGAAATGATTGGCAAGAAGTACAAAAAGTCTTGAAAGTAGCCAAAGATATCATTCGCGCCAAAAATGCAAGTAGTGCGGTTGACCCCCTGTCCTCAAAGGCCAAGTCTTTAAGAGGTGGGGCGCGTCCCAAGCTAAATACAGCTGCTAGGTATGATGATTCTTCAAGTGATGAATTATCTGGACTGAGTAGACAATCTTCTCCGCAACCTAGAGTTAAACATAGCGCGAAAAAGTCCGAAACTGCAGCATTTATTCGGAGTCTGCCGAAGAGGTTGCAGTATGATGGAAAGGGAAACTGGCTGGCATTTAAGCAGAAGTTCTTTCGTTATGCTAACGCATGCGATTGGACGTCAGACGAATGCCTTGATGGTTTATGCTGGTGCCTGACTGGAAAAGCCGCTGACTATCATGCAATCATCGTGGAGAGAGATGGCGATATTTCTTATCGGAAGCTCTTGCAGAAACTGGAGATGAGATTTGGTTCCAGGGAACCTGCTGAAACAGCCCAAGTGTGTTTCCACCAATCTTCACAGCTGCAGGGGGAGTCTCTTGATGATTGGGTAGATAGGGTCATGACCCTGGCGACAAAATGCGTTCAAAGACCTGCCTGAATACTATTCCAATAGGCAGACAGTGAGCAAGTTTTGTGAGGGTCTGGTAGACAAAGATGCCGCGGTAGCCGTAGCCATGGATAGACCTCAACCATGGAGGAGGCAATGAATAAAGTCCACTGGTATCAGCACCTGCATCAGTCAGTTTATGGCCGTTCTAAGAAGAGGGCTAGTAAAGAAGTTGTTGACGATGGCGCTAATGTGTTTGCCCTAGAAGAAGCTCCTGAGGTTGCGCAAGCCAACGCTGCTCCATCTCAGTTGAGTTCTTTGGAAGTGGCAATTGAGAAGCTTCAGAGATGTTTTGACAACATGATCCTGAAACTAGATGAGGAGAACACTTCTCAAGGAAGAAGCAGATGGCCTAGAAGAAACTTGTTGTTTCGGTTGTGGAAAAGAGGGTCATTTCAAGTCTGACTGCCCCTCACTGCAATAAAAAAATCAAATAAAAAGGGGAGGAGGTAGTATGTGTTCTTCCGTTAGCGCCAGATTCTCAAACCAGCGTCATTTCATGCTAAGCATGGAGTGAGACCAGGTTTGTGAAGGAAACAGTCATGGACTAAGTTCCATGCTGGATGTATTCTCGATGTAGACAGCATGTAAAAGAAACATTAGCAAGTGTATTGCAGAACAGTTCAATTCGAGGCTCATTTGGTTATTGCTGGGAAAGAAGTAACACAGACAGTTTAAGCCAGGTCGAGGAGGGTTGTTCCATAGCAACATAATCCTATGTGTTTGTCAGAAGCATGTCAAAGCTGCATTGTCACTAATACCGGTATCGGGCATTGTACGAGTATGTTTCTGGGGTCGAACTGAGGAAACTGCCTTGTGGGGGGATGTGATCATTGCGCAAGGGTTGACTTGGACCTCATCATGAGGGACGTAGATGTGGCAATTCTCTTGGTATTGCAAGGTGTGTGAAGATGAAGTTTGACCGTGACAAGTCATAAGGTATCATCACAATAATGTCGATAACCAGGTATCACGAGGTGTGCGAAAGATGAAGTTTGACGAAAGTCATAAGGTATCATCGCAATAATGCTGATAATCTGGAAGAGATTTGCGGATCCATTGTATCGTCGGCAATTCCAAGGTCACAAGGGTCGCAAAGGTTCACAAGGAAGCAAATGTCCAAATGTGTTGGGGTTGTAAAAACGCACAGAATCAGGTCAATGGTGCTAAAGTTTAGTGTGTTTGAAGGATGCTGTTAAAGAATTGTGAGCAGATTATTGAGAATACAGATGATGCTCTTGTGTGGAAGGGAAATAGGGCACAGTTTTGAAGTAGTCAGGGGTTGTCATAACATTTTTCGCAGAAAAGGTTTGTTTTTGAACTTGAGGCGGTCATTCCTTCTGTCCTTTATCGAAATGCAATAACAAAGATGTTTTCTTAATTTTGAGGCGGCCCATAATGCATTTGAGAACAGGGGGCATTTTGGGGCCTCCTGCCGCCTCTTAAATGACATACCTGTGAGTAGTGGAACAACTTTCGGCTAGGGAAGCTGTAGAGTAAACTTCCGCAGCATGCTAGCTATTCTAAGAGCTAGTGCTGGGTATTGTTACCGTAAGTTTGCCAAAGTCATTAAGTAGTTCTAAGTAGGTCCTGGGGCATAAGTCCCACTGGCTTGAATAAGGAACAGTACTTATAAATAGACTAAGTTCTATTGAGGTACATGGGCTATACTAAAGGTAAGATTCCCAATAAGTAGAAAGGTTCTTCAGATGAGTCAGGATATACCATCAGGTGGTCTCTAGGTGTTGCAGTGACCAGGGCCAGGTTTAAGAAGAGTGTTCTTCTGGTATGGCAGGGGTCAAGATAGTGCAAGTCATGTGACGACATGTGGATTTGCATTTGCAGCATGAAAGAATGGATGGTCATGGGTAGGTTGGCACAACGGGTCCTGTTCTGAAGATACAAGAAGAGAAAAACTGAGGTTACAGCCAAACCAGCTGTAGTCCTTTGATGCTGTTGGGAAATCTTATTAAGAAATAACAGAAGCCTGTGGGATAATTTAACAAGTACAAATGTGCAATGCTAAGTTTGTTGCTTTCTTGTTCTGTGTTAATGTGGCTGCTGTGGTGTAAAAGGTAGCTCCATAAATCTTTAGTTAACACTCAGGGTGTTGGTATGGAGGTGTAAGCTGCAATCGGCTTAGGAACTGGACGCTGGCCGATGTTAAAAACAGTGCCCAGGAAGGTAAGATATCTAAGATATCAGTTATCCAGTTAAGCTATCTGTCAATAACTTGTCAGATAGGCATTGGCAGATTACTGTTGCACAGGCTAATGCCTGCCCACTTATAATCTGTGTTTACAGGCCAACGCCTATAAAGGCGGTTTTGTGGTACTGGTTTGAAACCCAGGAGTGGACTTGAATCTCGGGGTCCCGCACTTCCAGTGAGAGGACTTCATCTTTAAAAGCGGGGGGGAGTGTGGTGAGGTATGGTAGTGTAACCGTAATCCGGAACATACCGTTCCCGGAAGGTACGAGATTTAGTCCGGGCAAGACGAGAACGATTCCTAGCCGCCATCTTGTAAGAAGGTAATTAGAACGGCAAGATAAATCCGAAGAATCTGAGAGATATAAATGGTCATCCGTACAGGGAAAGTGTTTCAAGGTAAGCAGAACACTTTAGCAGTTAAACTGCATGTATTTTAAACTCTTAAAAGGCTAGCATTGCTTCCAGATGTTCTAGCCAAATGTGAGTCACATACGCTAGTCTATACCATGTAGAGGCTATCCGTATGGTATTATTTTCAATGATAAATAAAGGACAATAATGACAGAGTGTATACAGTCTAGATACTGGAATAGACCCAGGGCCAGGATCATTGCTTTTTCTTAAGTGTATTACATACAAATTTTACTTCTGCAAATATACATATACTAAGGGATCTAATCCAAGTGATTGCCATGTAGTCATACACGATTCACGTGCGGTTAGACAGGAGACAGGACCACCAACATCTTTTTAGCAGACACGAAGAGCAGACACGAAGAACGGAAGTTAAACAGTTAAAGAGTTAAAACACGCCAGCGAAATTATCTATATTCTACTTACAATGACAACCACCGCTCCCATCTTTGTCTTTTTTCTTGCTCAGCTTATCGATGAGTTTTGCCTGCTCTTGGCGTTTGGAAGACATGGTTGTCTGATGGCAAAATTATCGATATAAGCCAAATTCAAGAGAATTTTTAATGTCTTTTAACAACCGGATGTATACTTGTTGTTAAGTACAATGCGCATGCGCAAGTTTATTAATCTCAACGTGTAAAAAATACCAACAAGGAATTATATTTACTTGAAAGCAGCAAAAATTTAACGTATTAAATAAAGATGTTGTACGTTATATTGATATTCATTGATGATAAAAAATAATAATCAAAACTGTATTGCTTGAAACCAGCTATTTGAAATCAGTTCACTTCTTTTTGTAATATTCTTTAAGTGGGGAATTGGCCTATTGATTAGAACTCAAGAGATCATGTGGCCTAGCTCTACTCTTGTCACATGATGTTAACACGTTTTCTCGGTATGAAGACACCTAATCCACCTCGTTCACTCCCAAAGTATGCAGTTCCTGCAAATAAGGATGTCACCAGATCATCAGTTCATCCCCTCATTTATCATATTCTAGAAAGTGGTCCATATGTTGAGTCTTTGTTTGGCATATCTTCAAGGTAAATATGTTAACATTAAACGAGCTTCTATCTGTTATTATGTTTATTATATATTAGCATCATTATTGCCAGAGTAATAGACTTGGCAGAAATTAACGACAGACATTAAAACAAAAAAAATTGAATATTGTATCATTGATCGCCAAAGCATTTGACGCAGATAGAATCTTGCCATAATATATTCAAAGAGACTTATCTTGATCCTAAAATCTGTCGATCTAATCCTACAATAAAAGCGTTAATATCTATGAATATTAAATTCAAAACATCTAAAATGTCGGTCAGTTAATAAAGGTTCTCTTTGATGAGAATTATCTTTTCATTATAAACTATGTTACCGGTTCAGTGGCCTTAATGTTATTGACCTAAATCTATCAAAAGGCTAAAAGTCCATACTGATAGTATGAGTCACAAATTGTCTAAACGGAACCTTGGACGGGAAGACAAATAATTACTTACTTCTATTGACCTTACTACTATAATTAGTATGGGTTTTTTCTTTTGTTTTGGAGAACATACATGTATGTATGCTGCATTTGAACAGAACTTCAAGAATTGAAATAGAATATTTGCCTACCTGGTGTACAAAACACGATTCTTGTTTCTAAATTATAAAGTTAAACAGTTACAATATAGAAGTAAGAAAAACATGTGTTTGGTAAAAATATAATACCACAGAACCAAATAACTCTGAAAGATGATGCCCATCCAGTAACTATCTAATAAATAAGGAATCGAGAATGCAAAATATTAAATGAATTACTAACTTTGAAAATGGTAATTTGAGTATTCAATACTATTTTTACTGACCAGTAAATAGAAAGGAAAATATTATGAACTTGTTGAAAAAGAACAACATTTTAACTGTATAAAAACATTACATAAAAAAGTCTTACACATAAGTTTATGGCACATATTTTATAAGACAATTGTCTGCCATCTCAAGAAGATGAACAAAATTAAAAAAAAAAAGCTAACCTTTTTTTATTAAATTTAGAAAGAGTCGTACTCCAGTGAAAAAAACATGGTTGCTGTGTCGTTTTGTACTTCAAAATGAAATTCTGAAGATCTGTGGCATTTGTATTTTGAAGAAAAGAAAATTCAGGTTGCTGAAATGTTTTATTTACGTCTGGTTTGTTTAAAGAGAAGATAAATAGGGCAAGTGTATTCAAAATTTATATAATTTGCCAGAATCATGACAACGATTGGACAAAGTTCACAGCTTTTAAGATTCCAGGATCATGGATTAATATGTGCATGCACTTGCCGAAAAAGGTTCACCTTACAGCATAGATTTTCAAAATGCTTGAAGTGGAGAATAACCTTTAAAAAATGGTATAGTTATGGATTTTGCAAGAATTAATGCATTTTGATATGTTTGTAATAGTGTTAATGAGTATGAAGCCACTGATACAAGTAGAACTTGCAATTAAGTCCAACTTTTTAGGGTCTTCACGTGATGCAATCCTAGTCTTTAAATATCAAAGTGCAATAACAATTTTGTTTGTTAAGTAATCAAAACTCTTTTGTCAATAACAATGGAATTCAGCAAATGCAATCCATGACAGATGATGAAAAATGACAATGGTGTGACGATATCTGTGCAAAAGAGAAATGTTGGTAAAATAAAGTTTAAGAAATTGGGATAGAGCAAATTTTATTGCGTATCGCATTTAATGACGGCAATGAGTACACATGCATGTTTGCATATTTTATCATGTGATGTAATTAAATTGTCTAATATGATCTCGCTATGAAATTCGATACATAAAGTCCAAAGGGGTGTATTTGAATTGTTGTTCGTCATATTGTATGCTTTTGTGGTAGCTAGTTGTCAATTTTTTAAACAATATCTTCTCCTAAACCACATGACGGAGTTTGGTCAAATTTCACCTGAATGATTGTTAGGTGGCCCTCTACAAAAGCAATATAAATGTTTCCATATTTATAGCTAGCTCTTTCATCCCCTAGGGGCGTGTGCTTTCGGACAAACAAGCACAAAGCATCGGTTGAAGATCAGCAGAACAAGATATGTTTGTAAAACATGTATGCCCCCTATCAGCAGCCAATTAGTCATGTGATAAGGTTATTATGCATGACTTCTGACCCAGTGATCAAACAATTAATAAGGGTTATCAAGTATCTACTGGTCATGACCTTAACCTTTGACCCCTTGACCCAAAACTCAATAGGGGTCATCTGCTGATCACAACCAATCATCATACAAAGTTTGAAGTTCCTAGGCCTAAGCGTTTTTAATTAATTGATCGGAAACCGTTTTTACCTTCAAGGTCAATGTGACCTTGACCTTTGACCCCTTGACCCCAAAATCAATAGGTCATCTGCTGGTCATGACCAACCACCATGCCAAGTTTGAAGTTCCTAGGCCTAAGCGTTCTTAAGTTATTGATCAGAAACCGTTTTTACTTACAAGGTCAATGTGACCTTGACCTTTGACCCCTTGACCCAATACTCAATAGGGGTCATCTGCTGGTCACGACCAATTATCAAACAAAGTTTGAAGTTCCTAAGCCTAAGCTTTTTTAGTAAATTGATCGGAAACCGTTTTTATCTACAAGGTCAATGTGACCTTGACCTTTGACCCCTTGACCCCAAAATCAATAGGTCATCTGCTGGTCATGACCAATCACCATACCAAGTTCGACGTTTCTAGGCCTCAGGGTTCTTAAGTTATTGATTGGAAAGCATTTTTACCTACAAGGTCAATGTGACCTTGCCCTTTGACCCCTTAACCCTAAAATCAATAGGGGTCATCTGCTGGTCATGACCAATCACCATACCAAGTTTGAAGTTCCTAGGCCTAAGGGTTCTTTAGTTATTTATCGGAAACAATTTTTACCTACAAGATCAATGTGACCTTGACCTTTGACCCCTTAACCCCAAAATCAATAGAGGTCATCTGCTGGTCATGACCAATCACCATACCAAGTTTGAAGTTCCTATGCCTTAGGGTTCTTTCGTTATTGATCAGAAACCGTTTTTACCCAAGAGGTCAATGTGACCTTGACCTTTGACCCCTTGACCCCAAAATCAATAGGGGTCATCTACTGATCATGACCAATCACCATATCAAGTTTGAAATCCCTAGGCCTAAGGGTTCTTTCGTTATTGATCGGAAACAGTTTTTACCTACAAGATCAATGTGACCTTGACCTTTGACCCTTTAACCCCAAAATCAATAGGGGTCATCTACTGATCATGACCAATCACCATATCAAGTTTGAAATCCCTAGGCCTAAGGGTTCTTTCGTTATTGATCGGAAACAGTTTTTACCTACAAGATCAATGTGACCTTGACCTTTGACCCTTTAACCCCAAAATCAATAGAGGTCATCTGCTGGTCATGACCAATCACCATACCAAGTTTGAAGTTCCTATGCCTTAGGGTTCTTTCGTTATTGATCAGAAACCGTTTTTACCCAAGAGGTCAATGTGACCTTGACCTTTGACCCCTTGACCCCAAAATCAATAGGGGTCATCTACTGATCATGATCAATCACCATACCAAGTTTGAAGTTCCTAGGCCTTAAAGTTCTTTAGTTATTGATCGGAAACCGTTTTTGCTTACATGGTCAATGTGACCTTGACCTTTGACCCCTTGACCCCAAAATCAATAGGGGTCATCTACTGATCATGACCAATCACCATACCAAGTTTGAAGTTCCTAGGCCTTAAGGTTCTTTAGTTATTGATCGGAAACCATTTTTGCTTACAAGGTCAATGTGACCTTGACCTTTGACCCCTTGACCCCAAAATCAATAGGGGTCATCTACTGATCATGACCAATCACCATACCAAGTTTGAAGTTCCTAGGCCTTAAGGTTCTTTAGTTATTGATCGGAAACCGTTTTTGCTTACAAGGTCAATGTGACCTTGACCTTTGACCCCTTGACCCCAAAATCAATAGGGGTCATCTACTGATCATGACCAATCACCATACCAAGTTTGAAGTTCCTAGGCCTTAAGGTTCTTTAGTTATTGATCGGAAACCGTTTTTGCTTACAAGGTCAATGTGACCTTGACCTTTGACCCCTTGACCCCAAAATCAATAGGGGTCATCTACTGGTCAATACCAATCACCATACCAAGTTTGAAGTTCCTAGGCCTAAGGGTTCTTTAGTTATCACTCGGAAACCATTTGGTCTACGGACCGACGGACCGACAAGTGCAAAGCAATATACCCCCTTTTCTTCGAAATGGGGGCATAATGACGGGTGGAAAAATCAACGTACAATCAACTAGATATTAACGTTTACTTCTGAAATCTCTGATGATGTCCGGACTTATACCAAGACGAGTTGCAGTATTAATTGTCAAGGACGAGGATGGGTGAGCCCCTTGTGCCAGAGACGGTTATGAATAGCAGCCACTTAGCTGGCATAGGGCCATCTTGCCTCTCAGTATTGTCACAGTTTACAGTACCTTCAATGCCACAGTGGTCGCTCTTCATTGGCCTACTTTGCGGCTTAAAACCATTTCTTTGGGAAATGATCAAATCAAATTTACTGTAAGTGTATAACAGTGACATGTCCGGGGCTGTACTCTTTGTGTGAATGGACCGACATTGTGCACAAGTAGGTCACAGCAGCTGTTAAAAATACTTTAATTTTACAAATCTTTAAATCTCTCTTCAAAAACTTCTATGCCAGAGCTTACATATTTGGCATGTAGGATATGATCCATTACACGTTATAAAATCATGACCCTGGGGTCAGAATTTATCCTGCCCTGAGGCTCCTTGATAGGAAACACATTTAAATCTCATTCTCATGAGACTTCATGTCCTAGACTTTAGACAATTAGCGTGTTGAATTTCCTAGTGGATCTCTACGAGTTACACAAATCATGCCCATGACATGGCATGTGGTCAAAAATGGTCAGTCCAAAGCAAGGAATATTTATAACCTTTCCAGTTGAGCTAATACGTACCACCATGGCCTCTTCTTATAATTGTTTGCAGAGATTTCTGCCACACCAATGGTCATTGAAACATTTCAGTTTTACTGCTGAGGAAGGCCCCTTTGTGCATTTTCGGGCACAAACAGGCACCAGAGTAGAACTACTGACCTTCACAAAATTTATCTTAAAAATTGCCAAAAAATGTGATCTTGTCAACAACTTCATTGGTGACCCAGATTTTTAAAACTTTTTTCATAGCTTTTTTCATGGAACGGTGAAATATGAGGGAATTGATAAACAAAGATAAAACAAACCATGCATTCTAAGAATTTTATTGTAAATATCTAAAACTAACATAATAAATCATAAACTCTTATACAATTTTAAAGATTTAACAGCAATCTGGATAAAATAAATCATACATTTGTGTTAATATAATAAACCCATTATTTCAAATCAACAGTAATAGAACATTATAATGTAAGTTTTGCCTTGGTAGGTTATTTTTTTTCATTTTGTTATATTGTCTTTAGTATATAATTATATCAAATATTCAAGATAATAATAAAAAAAGTCAAAACACTAATCATACTTAACACTGAATAGTTTTATGAACTTATAACATTCATTCTGTCCGATCAACGATAAAGGAATATACATGAAACATTACTATAAAGTATAAACAATAAGAATCAACACTATAAACTTTTAATATCAAGTGAATCACTGACTGAACATGAACTTGCATTCTAAACACTTAGATCCGCGCAGTCTGATCAGGATCCATGCTGTTCGCTATCAGTTTCTCTACTTGTAATAGGGTCAGTAAGTGAACAGCATGGATCCTGATCAGACTGCGCGGATGCGCAGGCTGGTCTGGATCTATGCTGGTCGCAAACCCATTATGTTGGTTTTATCTTGACGCGGCTCATATGATATTTTAACACATACATACATACATTAGTAAACCTTGGAATTCATTTTTATCTATGGTAATGCGTTTTTCATAACTAATTAACTATCATACATAAAAATTATTGAATGTGCATGCAATGAGGTACAATAAATATTTTATTTGGAAAAGCCATAATATATTTACAAACTAATTTTGTAAACAGAAAAAATGATATGACAAACCTACTTCAAGGGCCATAACTCTACATCTTTTGCTAGAAATAATGCATAATTTATGGTGTATTTCTTGTTCTACATGCCATATAATGCAAAATCTAGCTCGAATTACTGTTTTTTATCACTATATTTTATCTTTTTTACTGATATAGCATTAGGGGCCATAATTGCATGCATTTGGCTGAAATTGATTAAATCTGGCTGAATTTACTGTTTTTATCACCAAATTCAATCCTGCTGTTAATGTAAGTAAAGGTAGTAAAGGCTTTCCATATTTTGACATACATTCATTTATTTATTTATTTTTATTTTTTTTGAAATCTCAAACTTTTGCAAGTGCAATAATTAAATGCATCTGTAATGAAATATTTCGCATGCAACTAACACTAATTATTGTCCTGAACCAAGATAGCGAAACATGATATGTGAATAAAAATCCTTGTATTCTTTGGTGCATGATTACAAATTGTAAAAGATCATTTTAATGTAATGGTATACATATGAATATTTACATGTTATAGCTTCCTTAAACTGGTGTTTTATCAGTTTTATATTAGCTTCCTCATTAAAACACTCGTAGCTTAGTTCAATATACCTGTATTGTACAAATACATATTTCATTTCCCGAAACTTGAAAATGAATATTGGACGAATATATTGACTGTATAGTAAATTAAGAACAGAAATGTTTTTGTTTGTTTAAATTTTAGGGGTATTTATGATACACCGTTATATAACCATAAATTAAACACTTGACAATAGAACTAATCAATACCTAGTTAAAAAATTACAATATTGAACACCTGTTTTGATGTTTTGTGGCAATCAGATGTTTTAGTATAAAATTTACAAATGTAGATTCTTAAAAATTAATTTGTAACCTTTTAATAAAATGCATTGTCACTTAATAACTTTAAACCTGGAATAAATCAGAGAGGGGATATACTAATGGCTTTGGAAATAACTGAAAAATAAGACATAAATTAACAAATTATCTGAAAATTTCTCAAAATGAATTCTACATTGTAGATGTTGTACATTAGCCATTTCAAATATGTACAGCATAGGTGCTTAAAAAAATAGTCTATAAAAACATAAAAAGCATTTTTACAAGTAGATTCTCCACAAACAAATGGGATAAATTGATGACATTTTATTTTCTGTATCTTGGTGTTGCTATCAAACATCACGCAAAGTTAAGCTTCTATTATGCTATTATTGGATAACTATATACTAGAGAGAAAAGAACACCCCCCCCCCCTCCACACACACACACCCCAAAATGAAATATTCATATAGATGTACTGTAGACTTGGTCTGATATAGAGATATAGATAATTAAATATATATAATATGCATTGTGAAGTAATTGATCGAATACAAGTGCTAATGTACTGTGCAATATGACTGACATATCATATATCGACTTTACAATATTCAGACTAATGCATAATTGATAGGGGTTTACACAGTCATGTGATACTGCATTAGTCTCCCAGAGTTAACCTGTAAATATTACTATACCAACATTGCCACTTTTAGTCAATGATAACCAAAACCTGCCTCTTTTTGTTAATGGTAGAAAACAACATGAAAAAAAATATGAAAATAACGTCTCTTTTAGTCTTTACCAAGAAAACAAGAATAATGGCATTCAAGTGCTTAAACTCTTCAAATTAGGTAACATACACATAAATTGCCAATGGAATGATATGGTACTATGGAAGATATTTTTTTTGGATAAAGTATAGTGTAGAAATACATAGATTAAAGAGGTACAATGAGATATTTATAAATAGTGCACCAAGACATTGTTATATGATATAATAATATAGGTTAAATTAACTATTACATGCATATGCATTTCATTATTTTCACAACCTACTAACATGTTAATATAAAGTGTACATACCATACATGTATGCAATACATTAAATTTAAAACATAGTTAGAATCACAAAGACAGATTTTCTGTCAATATTATGTCTGTAGTCTTGCAAAAATTACAAAATGGGCCATAAATCTGCAAAAATAATTATGATAACAAAACCCTGAAAAAATTTTGCCAGGCCACTCAAAGGCAATACTTATGTGAAAGATTAGTTGAAATTTCTTGAGAAATGTATAAGATGCGTACAGAAGAAATTGTGAAAATAATTGGTTAATAAAACAGTAAGCAATGAAAAACCTGCTTTAAAATAATTGATAAATGGACCTATCCTTAATATATATATGAACCACTACAAATTCTGTGAAACAGTTCCTTTAATTAAATCAGAGGGGACAAAATTTTATTTATTCTGTATGTATAGTTCAACAATGACATTATATGAAACAAGCTTTAAAATTGATATATCTTGTTAAATCAATTTAACCCTTGTTTACAAAACACTTCTTTCAATGCCTATACTATTTAGGTACAAAGTTTTATTTATCAAGCTATAATAGTCCTATTACCTATAAATGAATGATTTGGTTATCAAGTTGTCACATAACTAAAGCTGAGGTCAACATTAAAACAAAATGAGGTAAATAACCTGTCTGGAATGTCAAAGGTTAAATATGTAAATAATGTATAAAAAATTTACCTCAAGGAAAAAAATATTTTTATACAGTGAGTGTTATCTATTAAAGCTACATGCACTACAGAGGGATATCACAAATTTAACAAAAATACCAAACTTATGACAAATATTTGGTCTGTACTAGTCACATGGTTTTAGCCTGATGGGGACAACAGGCTTACATGTCAATTAAAATATGACTGAACTAGTTCATTATCTTAATTGCCATATTTTTAGCTGGTTACTTAACATAATAAAATTTGCACATTTTGACATATTTAGGTGTTTTTTTAAGGACTGCATCGAAAAAGTCACATTGACCAGCTAAAATTCAATCAGTTTCTTTACATTTCTTGTATTTTGATCACAAAAATTTACTTTATTTTCATCTCACGCCTACTTTCATTATTATAAAGGGGTGAAATAATTTTTTTATAACCCAGGCGTTGACATGATAAAACTCAGTTAAATACAAAGTCTTCCCATTTCAAACAAATAAACCTACTCAATGTTACAACATAAAACGTCTCATCTATAAGTACATACTTGATAAAATTCATGTACCCATCTATTTTCATTAAAAAAAAATTCACTTGAAGGTCATAAAATTTGATCATCTAGTTATATGTTAAATGCAGTACACAATACATTTCACACAATTCAGGGGAAAATGACACTTATAAAGATGGTTTACATTTTCAAAAAAAAAACTACTGTATTCAATCTTTTATTTGACTGTTCAGCGGTATGAAACTTAAGGCCTTGTGAAAGTTGATCTCAAGGTTGAAAACATTAGGTTTTTTATATCAAATAATATGTCCTTTACAACAACAAGTGTTTATTTATAGAAATAATAAAATACAAGTACATATTTGCAAGTTATTCATATTTCATATTATCGTTATGTTTATTTTGTCAAAGATTTAATTTTAAACTCTCAAAAATCACAATTATACTATAGTATGCAGAATCATTCATTTTAGCACAATGTCATGTTTTATATGTTTACATGTATGTATTTCAACATTTAGGGTTGGTTTTTTTTTTAATCAAATGAGGTCTTTTACAACAATTAGAGTTTATATACATGTATAACCACAATTGCATGTTATTTTATGTCATATCAATGTTTTTTTGTCAAAAATGTAATTTTAAACTCTCAAAAATCTTAGATAAATCACAATTACATGTATAATGCAGCATCATTGATTTTATCACATGTTTCATATAAGTTTACATACATAAACATGTATATAAATACAGTGACAAGTTAAAAAACAACATAATTATCTAAGAGACCTTGAAAATATAATTATACACATACAAAATTGGTTTTCTATGCAAGATGTTCATGTAAAATAACGACATACTGTAACACAAATCAGCAGTTACAATTGCTATTCTGTAAAATCAAACATACAAATCAAGAAAGTGTAGGACAAACTATTTTGTTTGTTTCCAATATTTTGATTCTTGCTTAAATAATTATATGGTATGGCTGAAAAAAAAATATTATGCAAGTTTTATTTTAAGGTGAAATGCCTTGAGGCAGTAAAACCTCTTTCACAAAATCACAAAAGGTTATAGTAAGGAAGAGCATATAAACAATTATATTGCTTACAATAAATTTTAACTTCCCAATTTAAGAATAAATTCTGCCAATTGGTCAACAATAATTATACACCAATAAAATCTTAAGAACTTCAATGTTTTGTGTACATGTGTGTGTGTTTACATTCAGTGTAGTTGTTGTTGTTTTTACTGATAAAGCTACATGTATGGCCATTTAAAGGAGAATCCCAAACTCCTCCCTGATGATCCCAAACCCCTAGAAAAATTCTTTAAATTCTACAGATTTTGCAAAAACTTCAATTAAAAAAATATCTTTTTATTAAAATTCTCTAAATTAGTAAGGGGAAGGACCCCTATTCTTACCTGTGAAAAAAACCTTTTTATTTTATTAAGTTTTATTTTCCATCGTATGGAAATTATGAAAATGCTGTCGAAAAAATTGTGTACAAGCCCTGTATCATCTAACAAATCATACATATATATACATTTATAAAGTAAAAACTTAACCTGAGCAACAAAACAAAAAGTGCAAGGTTTATAGATTTAACTGTACTATCAACCGTGAGAATTCAAACAGCCACATGCATCTTAAATTGCAAGAGGGAAAAAGCAAAGGTATTGATATTCCTATATCGCCTTTCTGTTTCAACATATGTTAAAGATGCACAGCAGCTGCTGAATTATTGAAAAAATACCCCCCCCCCCCTCCCATTTTTCTGCAGAATTTACCTCCCTGAATTTCTTAAATAGATTTGTTCAGCTTCCACTGTTCTTGGACCTGTCCATTATCAAATTTGGGATTAGGTTGAAAATTTTAAGTCAGCCAACAGTGAAGACCCTCAGGTCAGACTGCATGGATGTGCAGACTGGCCTGGCTCTATACTGGTAGCATAAACTACCCATATTCACTTTTGGTTCCAGATGGTTAAGAGTTAAAGGCCTAACTCAGCCTTGTTTTGATCATAGAATGGCAACATCTCATAGTGGCATCATGTAAACCTCTCATGAATCTCAAAATCTCATCACATTAACTTTGTTTGTACCACTCAGTTAAATTATAAAATATGTGGATATTTTTTTTACACCACTCATCAGAAAAAAATCATGGAAACCCTTCATGAAGTTTGTGTGTAACCACTCATGGAAAATGTATGGAAATTGTCATAAATATTAGAATACTTCATGGCAACCTCTCTTATATATTTCTTTTAAACCACTCATGGAGACTTCATAGATTTTGAAACCACTCATGAAATCTTAAGCAAAAGCAAAATAATAAAAGAGCCTCATATCTTTTTTCGCTGCATAAAGAACAAAATTAAAGAAAGGACCACTATATTCTTCCACTGCATAAGTCATTGGTGAAAGTCAGAATTTTTTTGACCACATGAACAAAATCGCTTCCAAGTGGGCATTTAACTTGTATTATAAATCATGACGAATCAACAGTTCTATTGATACATGTACATCCTGTTTCTGTCAACACATATGACTATGAATATTTTGTCAACAAAGTACATGTAGGACTATAGTGAATTCATAACTGAGATATAAATGAAGTTTTTTTGTCATTATTGTTAATATTGCCATCTTAGTACAGTAACAGCTTAACTCCAATTAAATTTTAAAAGGAGTTAACATGTTGCTACACAAAGATAACAATAGACGAATGATCGTGAATCACTTCACATTATTTAATAATAAAACTCATATGACGTTTACGACAGTGTACATGAAACTTTTGTTTACAGGGCTTTTAGAAGAGAATATGGTTGCCTCACGTACTATATTGATAAATTAAAATATGCACGTACAAAATGAGCTAGATATCGCCATATATATACATGTATAAGTAACTAGACAAGGACATAAACAGAATTTCGTATCCTGAATGAGTAATTTTGATATCGCCGCGTGATAACCTATAACAACTGATAACCTAGTATCAGCAGATAACCTTTTTATTTCTAACTGATAACTGATAACCCAGTGAGGCTGATAACCTATCATGACCTTTGATAACACTTAAAGTGATACATTAAAGTTAGTATGATAATAATGTTTCAAAAGGTATGATCATAAACAAAAGTTTTACCATGAAATCTACAATGAGCACCCATCCCTCAATAAATATACTTAAGATACCCTACCTCCTGCCCCATCTTCAAGAAAAGAAAATCACATCTTTAATAAAGGGGAAAAATTACCAATATGCTTGATGTAACTGTTTAAAAACCATGACAATACACCAAAAGTAAAAAGCTTTTGAGATACAAGATTAAAGGCATTTTAGGGGGCATATAATCGTAACCTGCCTTTAAATTAAAACCTCATAACTTCATTTGTTAAAGAAATTAACCATAATATTCTTATTGTTATTAGTTATTACTTAATATAGGACAAAACTTTTAAATCTAAAACACCTTAATTGGCTGAATAATGTTAAACCTTTCACTGAATAATGTAAAAGTTACTGACTGTGCAATTTTCAAAGTTTATATCTTTCTGGTTGAACAATCTAGCTGTATTTGTAAAATTGCCTAAATTGATGAAATATATGTTTAATTACTTGTAATGATAGGAAATTTGTTACACATGGGAAAAGCTTAAAACTAAACTAGAAAACGTAAAATTATTCACTATAAATTTAACAATCTATGCATTATTACCATTAGATGACTAGAATTAAATCAAGAAATTTCTACCACCTTATTAAAGCATTGCACTAAATTCATTTTTAAAGCTACCAGATCATCTACAGGCTAAAAACTTGTTGAGCCTTAATGTTTGTGGAACAAACTGTGTGATATGATAATGCCTTCCCTACCTAAGTTAACTTAAAGCTTCTGAAATTTGTGAAGTGGACTTGCCCATTTTAGCATTTGGAGCAGCCCATTATCAGTTTTAGGGATTTCACTATGAAAATATCAAAACATGTGCAGCTTAAAGTAAAATGTTTGGACTATGTCCAGTAAAACTGCCCACCGACCTGACGCTATACAGGTTGTACCGGTTTGTTAAGATTGCCCCAACAAGTTCAGGATTGAATCACTAATCTATTAAACATAAATTATTCTATACTTTTGAAATATCACAGAATTGTTTGGGTTTTTTTTTTACCACTTTTTGAACAATCTTTATATAAGACTTAGTTCAACATAAAATTATTATTAAAACTATCCTGTCACTCATAAAATTAATACCATATTGGTTTATACAGAATTTACTTTTATTTCATTGTGTATGAAGCTATAAGCCTATAGACACACTTTTGAATACGTTCCTGAAACTAACCAGTACTGCGCAATGAGTGTAAAATTTCTTGCTCAAGAAAACAATGACTAATGTCCCTGACGGGGTTTGAACCCATCCAGTTAGCAACATTAGATTACTTCTTGTCCGAAGCCTTAGCCACTCAGCAATGACACCACATAATACCATATTATTTAAATTGTATACATTCTTACCTAATCATATAAATATATATATACATGTATATATATTATTTTTTATTCAGCAGTGATTCATTACAAGCAGAAACAAAACAGCAACATTTTATAATCAATTCAAGCATGAAATATACTCATATCACTCAGCTTGAAAATCAATGGAATTATAAATATAATACACCTAATTTGGAATGAATTATAGCAAACACAAATAATGCCAATTGTAAAACAATCGTTTTGAAATTCACAATTTACATGTCACTCAGGGTCGGCAAAATCTTCATTTTGAATAAACCTGCCTGTTTCATCTGCAACGTTTTTTAAAATTTTTATTATGATATTAATTTTATAAAGTAAATTCTGGAACACTTTTACTTGTTTCTTACGGGTTGTTGGACATTTTTGGGCCTGAAAATTTGAATTTCAGTAAAATATTTTATGAGGTCGAGAAATGAATCAGTACTAACGATACAAAAATATGGAAATGTGTTGCTTTAAAATTAAATACCTGAATTATTAATATACATGACAAGAAACACTTAAACAAATACTTATTCAAAAATTTTCCACAATGTAAATATAGAATTCAAAGTAAAATATCTAACAGTTATGTTCTTCCCCATTTTCTCAATTTTCTAACTTAAATACAACATTTAGACCTATCTTTGAAATATCATCCAAAAAATCTCATATATTAAGAAAAAAATGTTTTCAGACTGATATTATTTGATGAGCAGATGAACAATAAGTGCTTAATATATGTTATTACACAATGAAAAAGAAAATGCACACAAATTAAAATGATAATAATCATAATAATAATGAAGGTAAAAATCTTGCATTGAATATTATGTATATGTGATTAATGGTGGAATTCATCTTCAACATGGTTTTTCTTACAAAGTAGACATTATTTTTTCAAAACATGAATGAATAATTTGGTTAAAAGTACATGATTATATATTTATATATATATATAATATATACAACATAAAAAGAGGGATCAGTATAGCTCAGACCTTAAGTGACGCATGAGAAATGATAACAAGAAATGGTTTTTTTAAGCATTAAACACTTTTAAAGTTTTGCATTGTCAAGAAGTGATACATCATATAAACGAGGGATGCATAGCACAGATTTCAAGCTTTATAAATCTGGAAATGGTTGGCCGAAAAAATGGTTCTATATATAAAACAGACTTGTATGGTTGAATAGTAATATCTACAACAAAATCATACAATTACGGACGTCACACATAACACAGACATTCAGTTTACAATAAGAATATTGTTGGTAAGAAATTGTTTTGAGAATTTCTAAACAGTTTTGCATTGTTGAATAGTGATAGGCACATAAATTACATAGTTAAGAAAATATATCAAAATTATAATTTCAAATTTATCAAAATTATAAAAAAAAATTAAACTATCAAGGAAAAAAAATGCTTATTAAGACTTTCTTATAAATAACTGTCACTCGAATGAAATTGAATTAAACAAAGTAGAAAGGCCATACTAGCTGTAGCTAGATTTTTTACTGACAGCAATTTTAGAAAATGACCACTACTTTTATAAGTACAGGAGGTTATTATCAACATAATTAAAGGCTGTATACAAGCAAAAGGCATATAATTATGTGATACAAGCAGTAGAGTAGAAAGATGTAAACAGGTTTATAATAAAAGTAAATTAACAATCATGCATATTAATTTTATATACTTTTTTTTTTTGATTTTCGCCATTATGACACTCAACTCATACTGTACAACTACAAAATTCATTCATACGTGACAAAGTGAATGTTTTGGCATAAACAATTAATTGAAATGTTTTGTAACTCAAACATATCAATAAAAATTTTTTTTTTTTTTTTTAATTTAAGAATACAATTATATGTACATGAATGTATATATCATGCTTAATGGATTTGATACACAAACTTAAAAAATAATTATATAAAATATTTTGTGTAAATAAATTTGTTCACATTTACCAGTCACGATATGTTGGACTTTTAATGCTTTTATTCAAAAACCTGCTATGGAATGGTTTCCTTAACCATAAAGGACTATAAGTAGCAGTTTTTTCCTGAAAGACTTCACTTAGAAATTTGACAAGAGCTATTTTCATGATTTTATCTTCATGACTTAATCTATCATTGACTATCACCTAATCATGTAATGCTGAAAATTCTGCGTCAAACTTTTATTCTGCTTACAATATGGAATAGTAACCATGTTGTTAGTTTAAAGCTTAGCTGAGAGTCTCCAACACACGATTGTTCAAATGGTTTCTAAATAAAAGTGGCATCAAATATGCAAAACACCACTGGTTCGTTAATTTTCTTGGAATAAGATAACTTATACATGCCTTGCTCCCAGAAATACAAGCTTATTTAAAAGCCCTTTTATCCCAATATAATTTTAGACAGTTGAAACATTTTATTTCGTAAACATTACTTTTATAGACAAGCTGAGATATTTACATCTGTCTGGCCGGTGGAGCATAACTTTTAACAACTGCAAGCTTTTATGTCTATGCATATTTTATAACTGTAAACAGATACGATGATTCTGTAGCAATTCCCTGCTGAAATCGCAAACAACTGTGTTTGGGTCGACAGTAACTTTAAGGGATTTCAATATCAATGCACTTAAATTGAGCTACAACAGCACTAGCGTAACTTTGGACAGATGCTCCATGCTATGTTACTGCTGCAATACATTATATTAGGCCTACAAGTCTCCTACAAGTATTTTCAAATTACAATTAACGCCATATTACAAATCTTAACTTATCCTTAAATTTAACAGCACACTCTTTAACTAGTTAAATATGACGAAAAAAAGTTTAACATTAAAAATGCCTGAACATATTATTTTAAAATTTCAACTTTTTCACTTACATGAAACCAAGCTATTACTTAAACCAGTCACAGAACTTCCATGTAATAGTGCGGCCTACCAAGACCAAACTTATGATGCAAAATTGGCACAGTCCAGCTGATGATTATACCCACTGTCATATACGTAACAAACCTATATGGCACCTGTATTTTTGGATGATGACGATCAGCCTTCTCCAAACCAAAAATGTACGAGAGGAATTTCACCGAAAATGTCTGCACAACAGTTTTAACTAAAGCTACGGTTAAAACACCTATCATAAATCGCAGCGTTGCACAAGCTATTGTCTTTAAACTCGGTAAATATACTTCAAAGAGAGCTTCTGGAGGTACTGCCTGCGACATGCCGTTGAAATAGTTTCCCCATTGACCCATCAGACATCCGGTTAACGCAGCAATGACCTTCACACAATCGGTCCTCGTCTGGTTCCCGATTTCTGGAGCCGGGTACAAGACTGTAGAGAAGGCTACGCACAGTATGAACATCAGAACCGGGGAGGCGGGACTTGTTTGTATGAACCAGTCTATTTGATTGTTGAATGGTAAAATAAAACTGGCAACAACCAGGGATATCAGAACGCCTACTATCACATCCTGCAAACAAATAAATGCGTACAGTTAAGTTTTGCAAGAACTCTCTCCATATTATAACAATTAATACAATATTTAAACAGCCTCCAGTGAAATGTAAACCTTTTATTTCAATATTCCATTCGAAATCTTGTACATAGTAAACAAGCAATAAAATACCATTATACATGTATTTCATCTTTTGTCTCTACCATGTCAAGAAACATACATGTATTAAAAGCACTTATATAATTTGATTATCATCATGTAATTTTTATTATTTTTTTTCATTCTGTTACTACTTCCTCCAATGGTCAGCACAAAAAAAATATAATCCAACAGAATTTTTATGGAAATATATCTTCATTAAAGATCCTGTAACACAATTTTTTATGGTTTTAAATCATAAGAGAGGTAATAAAAAATTTAATTTCTATAAAGTTTAAGTCAGAATTTACAATAAGAAATGAATGCATATATTTTAATGATTACAATAATATGCGCAAATATTTGTAGTACATATTTTTTTTATTCTTCAATGTATTTGCATAATTATGTACATATATATAATTTTACTTAGTGTGGTAAACCACTTTGATCACAACATAGTCATACAGGATCTTAAATAATTAATGAAGAACTAAGAATTTGTTCATCCGTTTTCCTTGCTTAATTTGTACAATCCCCTAAAACCTGCTTTGATACTGGAATAGTGCATTGTTATTATAAGGGGCTTTGACAATTTAAAGCTACAGAATGAAGAAATACTTACTAGTAAAGAATGAACACCAAGATACAACCTACTTCCACATGTCATGAGGCACCAGGCAACTGCCAAACCAACAATCAGTGGTGTTGATACCTAATGAAATAATGAATGAAAAACTGAATTTATAAGGTCAAAATATAAATTATTTATTTAAAGTTAAATATAGACAGACATAAACAGGTAAAAAAAGCTGATGCAGTCATAAAGTGGGATTTGAGGGCCATGAATTGCCATGATTTTGAGGTTATCAACACACATGTTCTGTAAATAATTAAAATGGTCAATATGTTAATAAAATCAATACAGTCATAAATTGAGGTACATACATGTACATGTAGTCAACACAGTTTAAAACTAGAACTATCACTAAATGTGATTAATACCCCCACAAGACTGCTTCGGAAATGAGGATGTTACTAGTAACAGAATTCCTTGTAAAAGAATTGAAATATAGAGTTATGGTTGTGGGCAATTAAAGATAGTTGTGGTTCTTATATGTTGCATTTCCTTTCAATGTGGTTGGCCATTGATGAAGTTTAATTGAATTACTCTGTAATAAGTCCAGAAAGACAAAGAAAAGGAACAAAGGGCAATAACTCTATAAATACTGAAGATAGAGTTATAGTTCTTGTGCACTACACTTCCTCTTATTGTGCTTGACCATTGTATGAAGTTGTTTTGAATTCCAACCATTATGTTTTAAGTTATGCTCCTGACAAGGAAAAGTATCAAAGGGCAGTAACTCTGTATTTTGTCAAAATGGAGTTATGGCTCTTGTGCACTGCACTTCCTTTTAATGTTCTTGACAACTGTATGAAGTTGTATTGAATTCCAAACAGTAGTTTTCAAGTTATGCTCTGGACAAGGGAAAGTAACAAAGGGCAATAACTCTGTAATAAGTCAAGATGGAGTTATGGTTCTTGTGCACTGCACTTTCTCTCAATGTGCTTGACCATTGTATGAAGTTATATTGAATTCCAACCATTAGTGGTCAAGTTATGGTCCGGACAAAAAAGGCAATGAAAAAGTAACAAAGGGCAATAACACTGTAATTACTTTAGATACAGTTATGGTTCTTGTGCACTGCACTTCCCCTTATTGTGTTTGACAATTGCATGAAGTTGTCTTGAAATTCCAACCAGTTGTTTTCAAATTATGCCCCGGACAAGGAAAAGTAACAAAGGGCAATAACTCTGAAATTAGTCAAGATAGAGTTATGGTTCTTATGCACTGCACTTTCTCTCAATGTGCTTGACCATTGTATGTAGTTATATTGAATTCCAACCATTAGTCTTCAAGTTATGCTCCGGACAAGGAAAATGCAACGGACGTCTGGACTGACCGACCGACCAGACTTCCCGAAATACGTCGGTCCGACGGACATGTCCGATAAATTTTGATCAGGTCCGACAATTTTTTATTCCGGATCGGTCCGACTGTCCGGCTTTTATCCAAGCCGCATGTATACAAAATGGCGTTGCTAAAGGTGCCAAACCTTGGAAAAACCGAAAATCTACATCAGAAAAGTGCGCAGAACAGCAATAAAATGATGAAAAGAATAGACCTGAGACAAAATTTAATGAAAAATGGAAGCAGAACCATGAATCATTGATGTTTGACAGGGAGGGGATGAAAATGCGCTGTACGGATTGTGCCGATTTTGACGGCGAAAAAATAAAAAACAAAAAGTGTCTTAGAAATACACACACAAGTTTTTATTTGATTTTGATCAATTTTATTTGGTCCGACTGATTTTGTTTCGGTCCGACAGATTTTCATGGTTTGTCAGACCGAAAGTCTGACAGTTTTTTTCAACTTTCGGGAAGTCTGACCGACCACCGGGTGACTCCTATATACCCCCCCCCCCCAAACTTCGTTTTTGGGGGTATAATAAATTGTAGTCAATACAGTAAAATACTGCAAAAGTCAATACTCTCATGATTATACTATATATATATATACGATATATATAATACCAGTGATTTTCCTGCTTACAAAACAGACTCAGATAAAGGGCCTCTTCCCAATTTAATTTTCTTTAAAATCATGCAGTTTTCACAAAATCTGAACTTAAACCTGCTTTTTTACTTCCCAAATTAGCAATTTTAGCATATTTTTTTCCCAAAATCAAGAGGCTTAGAGGTCCCTCTGAAAAATCACTGAATACATTGAATTTGTACATAAACAGGTAGTCCATATAATCATAAAATGAGGATGAAAAAATTGTCAATATTATTAAAGCCTTCAAACTGATACAAAGCCAGCATCTTTAATTTCTTATATAACACAAAATCCTGTTAAAGAAAGACCATTATCAAACGCAGTCAGTATAACTGGGATTTAAACCTACGGAAAAAATCTTAACTTAACAAATATTGTCATTCATAATTATTAGCTTAAAACAAATTATTTTGTAAAACACTAGATTTGAAATTTATATCATTTAAGCTAAACTTTATTTAATTGCAAATATGAAAATACTGATGAAAACATTGACAGTGTGTTGACTTTAATAATAAAACTTGTATGGTGACAAGAGTGATATTGTACCATGAATGTAAAATAACCTAAATTTTCTGAACCATTAAATCGGCACTCCATAAAATCAATCTTCAAGTACTTACTAAGATTCTATTTGCATTAACAATATCAAATGGCTTAACTTTAAACTCGACATTGCATCAAGATAGAATATACCGACACATATTGACAATGAAAAATGATATTTTAAACCACCTAAGTTGAAATATAATGCTACAAAATAAATCAATAAGAAGAGGTCCCACTAGAATAATTTGTAATTTGATATAAAGTACACTTAAGAAAGTCCAATTAACCTGCTGAAACATAAACTAATTTAGATTATAAAGAAGGTTAGTTGTTACTTGAAAAAAGTGAATAGCTTCAGGCCATTGCTTTTTCAGGAATTTTGATAAAATGCTAACATTGTCACTATAATGTTAATTACATGTATGCAGAAATATATATATATCAGATATCATCTGACATACCCTTAACAGCCAATAAAAGATTTCTTCAAGACTAAATGCATCTTGGTATAATTCTAATCCTAAAAAAAAACAAGAGCTGTCACAGGAGACAGCCAAGCTTGACTAATAAAATACTGGAGGCAGTAAGGAGGACAAAACTATGAAAGAAAAATCAATTATGTATAATTATGTATTAAGTTATAGTAAAAAAATAACATTTGTTAAAATAAATTCCAAGATCAAGGGAAATAATTCTAGAAATAGTCACGCTAGAGTTATGAAACTTGTCACACAACATGTATGTAATGATAAGAAGTATATATTTGAAGTTTGAAGTAGATACCTTAAAAAGTAACAAAGTTATAATATTTCTTAAAGAAAATCCTAAGTTTAAATAGAAATAAAGCTGTAAAAATTACTTCAAGAGTTATGAACATTGTCACATAAAATATAATTAATTATAAGGAATAAGTATTTGAAGTTTGAGGTAGATACCTTTAAAACTAAAAAAGTTATAGTAAAAAATAACATTTTTCTAGTAAAAAAATCTAAGTTGATGGGGAGATAATTCTTGCAATATTGGTGCTAGAGTTATGAACCTTGTCACATAAGATGTGGATGATGATAAGGTACATAAGTATGAAGTTGATCCCTTTAGAAACAAGAGCCGGTTGAACCGGGTGATGCTCCCCGAATAGGTTTTGGACACAGGAAGGTATACCTCTTGTTGTGTCAGAGTTATGTCACAGACAAAGTTCAAAGTGTAAAAACAACCCAAATATTGTGCACGACACATTGTCTAAATATGGTGATCATTTTTGTGAAATAGTTGTAAAATCCGATTTCAAATAACAAAGTTATGCGCCTGACATTATTTTGCTGCAAGGTCATACCTTGACCTTGACCTTCAAGGTAGTGACCTAAATGTTGCATGCGACACGTCGATTCAATATGGTGATCTTCTCTGTGAAATAGTTGTTAAATCCAACTTCCAGTAACAAAGTAATAGGCCGGACACGATTTTGCTGCAAGGTCATACCGTGACCTTGACCTTCAAGGTAGCGACCCAAATGTTGCGCGCGACACAATGTCTCATTGTGGTGATCATTTCTGTGAAATAGTTGTAAAATCCGACTTCAAATAATGAAGTTATGTGCCGGACACAATTTTGCTTCAAGGTTATGCTGTGACCTTGACCTTCAAGGTAGCGACTTAAATGTTGTGCATGACACGTCATCTCAATATGGTGATCATTTCTGTGGAATATTTTTTAAATCCGACTTCAAATAACAAAGTTATGGACCGGACACGATTTTGCTGCAACGTCATGCTGTAACCTTGACCTTCAAGGTAGCGACCCAAATGTTGCGCACGACATGTCGTTTCAATATGGTGATCATTTCTGTGAAATATTTTTAAAATCCAACTTCAAATAACAAAGTTATAGACCGGACACGATTTTGCTGCAAGGTCATGCTGTGACCTTGACCTTCAAGGTAGCGACCCAAATGTTGCGCGCGACACGTCGTCTCAATATGGTGATCATTTCTGTGAAATATTTTTAAAATCTGACTTCAAATAATGAAGTTATGGACCGGACACGATTTTGCTGCAAGGTCATGTTGTGACCTTGACCTTCAAGGTAGCGACCCAAATGTTGCGCGCGACACGTCGTCTCAATATGGTGATCATTTCTGTGAAATATTTTTAAAATCCAACTTCAAATAACAAAGTTATAGACCGGACACGATTTTGCTGCAAGGTCATGCTGTGACCTTGACCTTCAAGGTAGCGACCCAAATGTTGCGCGCGACACGTCGTCTCAATATGGTGATCATTTCTGTGAAATAATTTTAAAATCCGACTTCAAATAACAACGTTATGGGCCAGACACGAATTCGGGACGTACGTACGGACTGACGGACGGACAACCCGACGACTATATGCTCCCCCGAAATTTTACGGGGAGCATAATAAATAAGTTACAGTAAAAAATAATATTTTTTAAGAAAATTCTAAGTTCAAGGGGAGATAAATCTGAAAATATTGGTGCTAAAGTTATGAACCTTGTCACATAAGATGGTGATGATGATAAGGTACATATATTTGAAGTACGAGGTTGATCCCTTAAGAAATAAAGAAGTAACAGTAAAAAATAGTATTTTTTAAGGAAAATTCTAAGTTCAAGGGGAGATAAATCTGAAAATATTGGTGCTAGAGTTATGAACCTTGTCAAGTTTGAAGTTGATACCTTAAGAAATGACAAAGTTATAGTGAAAAATATTTTACTGCACCAAAACTTTAATCTGAAATCTGGACGCCGACGCCGGGGCGAGTAGGACAGCTCTCCATATACTTCGTATAGTCGAGCTAAAAAAGTAACAGCTCATAATAACAAACTATTCTTAATTTCATATTTTTATCGACAAACTATCTGTATCATGTTTTTTATGTCTTCGTTTCAAGATTTTTAACCTCTTATTTTTTAGCATTTTATTTGTATTTCAAGGTTGACTGATAAAAAACTTTATTGTTATTTATCCCCGGGACCCTAAAATTTGTTTCAAATCTACCGTAAAACATATCACAAAAAATGTTGGCCTTATTTACAATTGTTCATTTGATGGTATTTATTTTGATTTAAGTATTCATTGTATTGTCATTGACGTTAACTTAAATGCAAAAAAACAAAACAAAAAAAAACCAACAAGTTCTTATGTCTTCAATTAAATTCAACAATTTCGCACACATCTGTGTCCGGATCACATGAGTGTCGGGTCGGCACTTCAATGATATCTAGTACTTGACTCCGACTGTCATATCATATGATCAGATGAAACGCATAATATTTACAAATATTTTTCAACAGTATCAACATTATGTCAAAATATATAACTCAGTGACTGGTTGTGACGGGAATAAAGAAAGAGTTCACTGTCATAAACCTTGATATTTTCATCGCAATGGCATTGAACTTAAATTGTTTATAACACCTTCCCCTATATAGTAACTAGTTTTTATCAATGAAATATCATAGTACACATATCAGTTAACAATATTTACCTACAGGCAAATTAAGTTCAAACTACCGACTCTTAGGTCATTACCAGTTGTTAAACATAAAAAAGTTAGTTCGTCCAGTTGCTGTCTTTTTTAAAGCAAAACTCACACCCTTTCATCAGCCAGCCTATAGCTGGCATCTGCTGGCTTCCAGGGCCCTTATTACCTAATACTGGGGACGTCTGTGTTGATGTGAAAAAAGGGGAAATTTTATTATTCACTATATATTTTTAACTTTTAAGTTTTCTTAGTTAAGTTCTGGGTGAAGACTTGATGAGTAATACAGTTGTGCCATTAGTTACATGACTGTCTGGCTCAAAACTAAATAAGGCACATGTTAATATCCTCGTATTACTGATATTTATATTACAGAGAGCTACAATACATGTATCCTCACCAATACAGCAATATAAATGCCCTATTTCTGATACACCATATTTTGAACCTTTACAAAAAACTTGAACCTTTACAAAACACAAGTCTAATTTTCTATAAGATTTGTCCTAGAATTTAACCTTTACCATATTTTCAATGAAATGAAGGAAAGTTCTATGGGGTTAAAATGCTATATATAGCTGCAGTGTAATTCTTACATATCGCTACTAACAACTAGTCATTTGGTTCAATATGTCCAACATGTGTAATTGATAGTAATATAAAAATCAAATTAGAGTAATTATGTAGTAGAAAAGGGCCTAAGGCATAATTAATTTTTAAGTAGAGTTATGTTAGGTCAGATGTCAAAATAAAATTATTGAATATCAGATCATTAAAATATTCATAGGAAAAATATTATATTATCAAACTGTCAATTTTATGATTCCTTGTAAAAACAGATAGAGGGAAATAACATATTAATAGCACCATATTTTGACAATAAACTTTGTACAGACAGTGATGTTTTCTGAAAATTAGATTAAATTTGGATTGGGTTCTGAATGTGGCTACAAATGGTTGCAATTACTTAAGTATTACACCCTTATAATATCTCAAATAGACTTGTCCATATTCAGTCTGGACAAAACTATCTTGAAAAGAACAATCATCACCATTAATGTCAAACCACTTGCGGGTCTAGACTTCAGGGACAGCTTTGACAAACAATGGAATCCAGGAACCAGTCCCCAGCTTTTAGTGGATAGACCCGTTGGTTCTTTTATGCCCAGTGTATAGCACTGATACATGCGCAGATTACCTGGATTTCTTACCAGTACACCTCTAGGTATCCAGGCAGGTGGGAAACACTGAAAGTGTCTCTGAAAAATCCCAAGGATCTAACAGGATCCCACAGGATCTAACCTGCGACCTCAGGAGTGACAGTCAGAGGTCTAACCAACTGAGCTATCGCATCACATATTAATTGAATAGCAAACATTGCAGATCATGATCAGACATAATAGATGTGCTTGCCATCTTTGTCACATGGATTCAGGGCTGGCAAAATCAATTGTCCGTATTGCCCAGGTTGTCCTACAGCCTGTACGGACAAGTGAATATTTTCAGGAATTAACTATGTCAATATCATACGGACAAGTTAAAAAATGCTTCCTATAAAAACGGACAAGTAAGTCAAAATCAGATTTTGCCGGCCCTGAATATTCGGATTAGATTCAGTCTCCTTTAGTTAGGCTTATGAGTTTAAGAGTTCTGACAATTATTTTTAACGATGAAAGAGTTCTATTAATTTTTATTTGTTTGGGTCGTCAGACCAAACAAATAATGGTAGCGAAATTTCAGAGTCTAATGCTGTTAATTGCAAATGTCGAAAGTAGTCCACTTTTTTGAAGCGGTTACTTCCCTTTATATGTACACTAACGCCGAAAAATTCAGGGGAGATCACTGCGTAAAGATGGTCAAAGACAGGCACATTAATTTTCAAGCAAAATAATTCCCGAATGGTCGAAGATTTCTAATATTGTTCTATTGTATTTTCTGATCGAAAATAAGTAAATACAAAGCGGAAATTCAATCTCTGACACAGAAGTTTACGACAAACCTAACAACAAGTAGTTCTCAAAACAGCTTAAAACTAGCGATTTAAAAGAAAGAAATATTTTTATTTTGTTATAAGTATCCAACAAATTACAACGCATTCAAAGTTTAAAAATAGCGTTGGCTTATAGAATTGTTAATAAATGCACAATCACAAATGACGCGGATGAATATGATTTTATCAATGAAAATACTATTTTTAGCGATGTCGATTACCGAATACTACACAAACCGAGTAGTGGAATATATAGATTCTACATGTCGGACTGTTTGGGCGAGAAGATTTTCGCTAAATTATTTACTTCAATTTTAAACAACAGGTTTATCCTGAACAAATTCAAATACCTCGAAATTAATAAGGAATTACAAACCCGAAAATGCAATGGAAGTTCTAAATTTAGAATGACTTGATGTTATTCAGACGATGTTTGTATAACTTCTCCGTGGTGCAGAGGTAACGCCCTCGCTTAATGAGTGAGAGGTCTGGAGTTCAAATCCCAGTCGAGGAAACTTTTTTTTAATTCTTTTTTTAAGTGTCTTTGTTAATTAAGTAGCCATGATATGCAAGGATAAAGTGTGGCTGTCGTAAAAATGAACATACATGATTTTTTGATGCAACTCTAGTTATGCAGAATTCCGCATGTATCAAACTCTGGTGCCTTGCAAAATGAATTATAATACATAAAAATAAACTTATACAGGAAAATACATACAGATATACAGTACGATTTAGATTGCAATCAGAAAATACCACAGAACTTGCAGCCCTTTATGGTTTTCTTCAGGCCGTTCACATATAAATTGACCGTGGCTGAAGGCTTTTCGCGCTTGCTTAGGAAGCGAGAGGTCTGGAGTTCAAATCCCAGTAAAGGCAACTCATTTCTTTTTCAAATGGTTTAAGTCAAGTAAACATTGGATTGAATATCAGTGTTGCAATTAGTCTTATAGCCAATTTACTACAATTAAAACGATGGAAAGCATTGGTGGCACTATACATATAATCTCACAACCTTACATTCTGAGACCCAAACAAATTCAGCGCCTTCTGTGCTTTGATTCTTTTTGCTATAAAATGTTTTTTATATATCTATTATGATTTTTATCATGTATACATAAGCTTATTGGTTGTATATGTATGAAAATGTGTATAGGATTATTATATACTACCTCGTATCTGTTGATAATGTTGTAAGCCATCATGATGGGTATAGAAGAAGCAGCAACGGCATGAGTTGATGGCATTGAAAACTCTTGAGCAAAGTCTATATCCATTCGTATAACATGACGAGTGGTCGGACGTGGCCACTGCATAATATCCTTGCCCACCTGCCCTATGTACATGGATATACCCCAAACTAACACAGTTGTACGCATCAGTGCACTATCTACATTCCACAATACAAATGGCAAGAATGTTAAATTAAAAGCCTCGTCACCAAAAAACGATGCAAATTTGAATGCATAAAATATGAACTTATTTTTGATCCTATGTGGAGTAATCTTGTAGGGGTTAGTATCCCTGTATTGGCTATCCGAATCCGAGTCGTCCGAGGCAAATGGAGGCACGCCCTCTTTTTGCAAGTCAGTATTTTTGGGACGATTATTATTGTTCTTATACCTAGGCTGAAGGACATACTCATCGTTATGTTTTTGTTTAACATATTTGTCGTACGTGCCATTGCTCAATGAAGACGTGTCCTGGTTTTCAAACTCTTCGTCAAACCCATCCGGCTCAGGCAGACGTTCGATTCCACAAACCCGCTGGAATTTTGCAACAATTTGCGGATCGTGTAATTTCATTATCCAATCCATTTTTAAATTTATATCTTAACGGTATTAATCTTTATGTGGTTATCTACACAACTTCAAACGCTTCTGAACATTAAGAATTACGAAATAGTCCGAAAGTTTCCAACAAAATCCACCTGAACCAAATACCTGATGGTCGTCAAGTCACGTGATAAAACAAGTCAAGGAAATTCCGATTAAAAATAGAATTTTCAAAACGAGGCGATCAATCGGAACCTCTCATTTCTGTCAATTAATAGCCGAGATATTCCGTTTGAAAAAAGAGACCGCGAAAATGTAAAATTTAATTTAAACAGGCTAATGAAGTAGCCAGGTTAGTATTTATAAAGAGCAGATTCGGGTATTATCGACCACATAAGCCTGTATTCTATTCTAATTTCCTATAAATTAACTTATTAAAGAGCACCTGTTACAGATAAAAAGCCGCGGCATAAAAGAACAATATGCGGATAATGACTTTTCACATCTTATAAATATCGTTTAAATATAATTATGGGGCATCGGTAGTCTTCGACCATATGCGGCTATTACCGACCGGTCATCGATCGGAGTTTTAAAAAAAATGGCGAACACATTTTCTGCAAAGTTGAATTGTATTACATCATGAACATACTTTAGGATAACATTCTGCTACAGTTAAATATACATTACTTGCAGTGCATACAAAACTCGCAGTGAAATGGGTAATCCCTGATTTGACTGACCGGAATATCAAGTAACACGTCATCACCAGTGCATGAAACATGCCATTTACGAGGACATTTCACGCACTGTACCCACTCATCGCCGTCCTCATAAACATCATCTGTTTGACAGCCAGGACACAATTTACTCTCGTCAAAGCTATCATCTGACTCTTGAAATTGAATTTTAGTATTTTGATCATCATCTCCACTGTCGGATGAAGAACATTCACGCTTACGCTTTTTAAGTTTCAGTTCTTTTTCCAACTGTTTAATCCTCTTTTGTTCATCCCTTTTTAGTTTCTTTTCTTCTCTTTCCTTCTTTTTGCGTTCTTGCATTTCCTCTTTCTCTCTTTTCTTTTGTTGTCTTTCCTTCTGACGTTTTTGTTTTTCAAGCTCTGCCGCTTCTCTACTTGCTTCCCTATCCTCAAACATCCTGAGAGCTGCAGAGCCAGAAACTGCTTTAGGAAGCTTGGTGTAAAAATTAGTACCATGTCGTTTCTTCTTTGGTTCAGGAATGGATAGAGACCTGAATGCTGGGGAGACAAAAGATTTCCGAGTACTAGTAACTGATAACAGACATAACGCCAGTGGTTCTTCTGGATTAGATTTGGTTTCCGTATGCGATAATAATGGACGGCTACAACACAAAGAACTTGCCTTTCCAAGAAATGTTGGCTGACAATCAGAAACAATGCTAGAGGAAACATCACATGACTCTGTCGTAACAGGAGAAACATTTCTGGGAGCCATTGTGGCCAAATCTGAAAACATGTGTAGCCTTTGTTTTAGCTACACTGGACTCTGGGCTAAAAATAGAAGTTATTTCAATGTTTTCCTTGTCCTGAGAAAATGGAAGAGCTCTCGGAGGATTAGCAATTTTGGAGGGTTCTAATTTCGATTTATCAATTCCAGCTACATCAAGTGAAAACAAGCCCGAGCGCCTAAACCCATGGGATGCATTTTCTAAGGTGCTTACAGTTTCCCAGGCTGATTTAAAAACTGCAGGGAATTGACGTTTTGTCAGAGTTTCGCCAATGTTTTCTAGTTGCCATTTTTTCAAATTTTTCTTCCATGCTGATTTCATTGGAGAGAAAAAACCGACATCACACGGCTGCAAAACATGAGTGGCGTTAGGTAATAGACAGTAAAGAATGATGCCATTTTTGGCACAGCATGTAGCTGCAGCACCAGACACATGAGTTGTATGTCCGTCCACAAAAAGCATCACGGGCTTTTTTATATTTGCATTGTCGACATACTTAGAAAAGTGCTCCAAAAAAGCAACAAAAAGTTCGCTATCCATCCAGCCGTTGCTGGTATGTCCATAGATAGCTGCAGGAAAAGCTTCCATATCCGTGTCTCGAAACCTTTCACCGGGATATACAATTAATGGCGGTACATAATCCCCGAACGCATTAAAGCAAACCATTACAGTGAATTGCTGTTTGTTACTAGAAGTAACATCTCTACTAGAACTTTACCCGTCTTCAAGCATAAAGGAAAACCACTTTCATCTCCGTTGAACATTCTTCGGGGATCTTTAAGAAGATTCTTGAAGTCCGGTACTTCATCTGAAGGCTTCTGCATTTATACGGCATCGTTTGAAGCTCATTGCCATTTCACATTCCTGTAAATAAAAACAAAATTAAACATGAATTAAGCTTGGAAAAAGTGTCGGTAACTTTGAAATTGAACATTTTTGTCGGCTGTTACTGAATCTGTTAAGGACTGCGGAAAGTCTATATTTAAAGAATATGATAAATATAAATAAGTAACCATGCTAATTATGTAAAAAGAGAATAAAAAAAAATGAATCCATTAAAGTATCCCCGCCTAAATCTATTTAAAAACGTAATAGTAATTAACAAACGTTACGATGTCTATAAGAGTAATTTGTTAGTATAATGTTCGGAAGACATATGTATTTGATTATTTGAATCATTTCATTTAAAATGCATTAATAAAAAAAAAATAACCTGTTACTGTGTCAGGACAAATAAACACCACCATGCACAAATTTTTCTACCCGTTATAAAATAAATATTATGGGAATTAAAGTATACTTTTTGAGATTAGATTTTTGTTTACTTTCTAGATTTTAGTTTTTGAAAAAATACATATACAACAATCTGTCTTTATTTTACTGGATGGCTTTTTAAAAAAAAACACAGTTACCAATATTAGTTCTGGTTTAAATTTTTGATGGGACAACGGACGTAATGATTCGTAATGTATTTCTGAACTTAGTTTATAAAGTTCTTCTGCTGTTAGTAGTCACAAGGAATTAAAATTGACAAAGATTTAAGAACCGTAGCTGGGCTGGTCTCTTTATTCTGGACTGCCGTCCGATAATTGTCAAAGTAGGGGAATTGAATAAACAAACTCCGCCAACTTCCTCTAGACAATCAAATGGCCCTTGGATTTTACGCTAGCAAAAGCCTGGCGAATACAAGTTTAAGCCTCAATGCCGTTTCTTCTGTAAATAAAAGAAAAGATGTAAAATATTAGCTTAAGACAAAAGTGGTCGGTAACTGCCGAACTTGATATTTTATGTCGGCAGTGACCGACAACTCTCTAACAAGGTTAAAAAGGACGTTGCGGACGCACAGTCTATATTTTCGACGAGAGGACATATGATAAGCTACATAACGTACATGCTAAAATACACGATAAAAAAGCAAGTAATACAGTAAAGTTTTAAAAATCACAAAACGTATGCCTCCCCCTTTACAATCGTAGTTAAAAGCAGTAATTTAGTAATAAACAAATCTTACCATGTCTTAGAGTAGGGATTTGTCTGTGTTGAACTGGTAAAAAATGGCGAAAAAAATTCTTGGAAAGATCGATGATGTAATTTTTGACGTCATGACGTTTGATTGGCATACATATTAATTAATGATTAATTATAAAAAAAGTAATAAGTGGTCGGTTATTGCCGATGGACGAAAATACACGAATCCGATCCAATGACATGAATTTTTTCTGGTTTTCTCGTGTAAAATATTACATTATTTCTCGTGCAATATGGAAAATGGCATTATAGAGTTAGATTTTAATTGTTTAAATCTTTCTAGATCTAGTTGTTCACTCAAAAAAACAAACAATCTTTTTATCTGTATTTATTTTACTGGACTGGTTCTTCATGGTTGACAAAAAAGTAAAAATGGATTGACCAATTAGATCTTATTCTGGAATTACATATATAGTATGGACACGTGGTGACAGTAACAGATTCTGTCTGGTATTCGGATGGGGGAAGCAGTGTAGTTATATAAGAATTGTGGACTAAACCGCATGATTTAATAGCTTCATAGTGAAAAAATAATTTACAAAAGCATTTCAGTAGCTGCGCATTCCAAACGTTATTGATCAAAAACCAAACCATGTGTAAACAGAAGGGGGGAATTGAAAACAGGAACTCGACCAAATTTAACAGAATTATGGCCCTTTGTTGATTTTTTCACTATATACAATATAGAAATTTTGTGAACGCAACTCCTCTTAAACCGGATGGCAGATTTTGCTTAAACTTCCAGGGATGAACAACCTTAATGTGTAATTGGAAGTAAAGGAAGGATTTTTGCTGCGACCAAATTTAACAGAACTATGGCCCTTTGTTGACTTTTTCACTATATACCATATAGAAATTTTGTGAACGCAACTCCTCTTAAACCGGATGGCAGATTTTATTAAAAAGTTCCACATAAAAATCTTACATACAGATATGCATGCTCTTGTTTACGAGCACATCTGCACAGTGGGGGCACCCGTGTCCTTTGGACACAGTTCTAGTTATCATAATCCTCGTTCCACTTCTGTCAGTTGCATTTAAATGTGGACTATTTTCTTAACTTGAGGGAAGGCCAGTATGAAATTCAAATTTATATCCTGAAAAGAAAAAGAAATTCTATAAATAGACTTAATTTCTGTGGTCATTTACTACTCTGCCGAACTTTCCAGTGGTCCTGTGTGACTAGATGCCGCAGGAGGCCCGTGTTCGATCTGTCTTATAGATCTTTGTATACATATTTCAGTGATCGTACAACTGAGTGAGGCCCGTGTTTTTTTTTGATGGAATTGTATTAAAAAGTTCTTCGAGTGAATTTACATTATAAAATCTATTACGGGCCTGTGAAAAATCATGACATTCCAGAAGAAAATGATTGACAGTAAAACTTTCATTGCAAGCTACACAGAAAGGGACACTGTCATTCGTGAGGAGATAAGAATGGGTAACTTCAATGTGTCCAATTCGGCATCGAAGAAGAACTTTTTGATCATGGCGGTTTGACAAAGACAGAGATAAATAAATAACAAATAGCTTCTTATATTACAACAATATTTAATTTTACATAAACACATTTCAGCGGCAGCGGCGCACTCCAAAACGTTATTGACGTCAACATCATAATACAAAATGTATTTAACTTACAACTTGTGCTTCAACGTTACGCAGTCAATA